CTGCTGTGGCTGAAGCAAACTGACACAAAAATGGAGGAATGATCAGCAGCATGACCCTCTTGGACTCTCCCTAGCAGGGGGCTCGCTGGGCTGCTGGACCCTGAGCTGAGCTTGCTGCAATTTGTGCCTGCAGCATCCATCAGAACTGGGAGTGCTGACTGCTGTGCTTGGGCTGGCACCACTGACATTGACTCTGGGATGACCCAAAGCTCAAACGTGCCCTTTCTGAGGACACCAGCCTTGCTTTACGTTTCATCTCTTAGGCAGAGGTGGTTGTGATGCAAAGATACATCCAGCCTAAAACTTCTAAGCACTATTACTCTTCATATAGCCTGAAAGTTCAAATTTCTAGGCAAAATAACAAGGCATTCAAATTTCTAGGCAAAATAATATACTCATGTTGTTCTCAGCTGCCTTGAAGGATGTGGGTTGTAAGGCCAAAATTAGTTCAGCCCACGGTTTCTCCATGTTGCAGAGAAGCAGAGGATGTCCATGTGGACAGATCTCTTTTACTCTCCCACATCCTCTTTCATAAAAAAAGAGCATTGTTGAGACCTTTTCTTCTTCATCCTTCAACCACATCTGTTGCTTAGACACCTTGGCCTCCTCTCCATTCCCAGAATTCAAATCCAAACACTGGTTTGTCCTAAGGATGACTTAATATCCAATTATCCCATAAGTATTGGATCAGAGTGGATGACCATCAAGCATTGACTCTTAGAACACAGTGCCCTTCCTTGAAACCTTAGTCCAAGCTGTACATAAATTCAAAAACAGGGGGGAAAGTCCAACCTTACAGTCAAAAGGGGGTTTGCATTCTGATATGGAAATGTTTAGAAGGTTTGCATTCCAATATGGAAATGTTCAGAGGGTTTGTGACTGCACACACAAAGAACACTTTGTACATAGATTCAGTTATATTCTTTATTGTTGAAACAGTTCTGGAATGTTTTGGTCTCCTTGAGCTGGCAAACAGATGAAAACATTGGTCTGTCCCTAGAATTTTTTTCTTTAAAATTTATATGAGAAAGATTAACAGGCAGCAGGATGGACAAGAAGGCATTTCAAAACTGTGTTCCAAAAGAAAAAGAGAGTAAGAACAGAGACATGAAATGTCAAGTACTGTGACTCAAATGGTCAGGAAAAACTTAGGGAGGATTGGAAAACATGTTAAACTGCACTCCTGACTTCAGAATTCTTCAGGACATCCAGACACCTTCCTCTCTGAGTCCTTGGATATGCCAGCCTGAGAGCCTGCTGAAAGGGAAGGTTTGTAGTGAGACAGCAGAGCACAACGTGGCCTATTGTCAGCTTTGGGGCTAAGTACTGCCCACATGTGTCATATGACCTCAAAACCACCACTGGAAACACTACTACAGTTTATAAAATCCTCAGTGCCATTCATTACACATAACTAACCAAAATAACTCACCTATTAAGCTGTCACCTGTGCAGCTCCTGGTCTCCAATTTACCTCTTCACCCTTCTCCTGCTCCCCAATACCACACGGAACCTCATCAGGCTCCAGGATGAGTGGTAATCATGGTGCTATTAATGTGACAGCCAGCAGCCTCTTCCCTCTTCACACAGCCTCACATGAATTCCTTGACATTAGACTTTAAGCCTCAGATCAAATCACCGAGTTTATGAGACTTTCTCCATTATAATTTTTCCAACTGAAAAGCTGAAGTGGTTCTTAGTACACTTATTTAATTCTCCTCAGCTCTAGGACTCTTTAGTCATCGTTGTCCTATGTCATACTACTTCTGAATAATAAAATATTATCATGAACTGGACACACCTGGAAACAAAAAGTCTGGGACATCCTGTGTGAAGAGCACTGCTGCTGTTAATACTGAAATATTACTAGATTAATTCTATTTAATCAGTTAGCTCATGATCTGAAATGAAAAAGAAAACTATTTTGCACACCAGAAAATTGTTGGAAAAGTTACTATCAGTTAGAATGGGGAGGGGATATTTTGAAAGTAACTTGAAGTATAATAAAATGTTCACTAGGAAATAATCAGGGATGATCATACTGACTTGGGACATGTTGCAAGACAAAGCCCTTATTTAGTTGGCTAATTTCATGGCATTTTGAAAAACACACTACTCAGTCAATGGTTTGAGGAAATACTTTGAAACCATTCATGAATAGATACATGAAAAATGTTTGAATGAACATTTGAAAAATGTTTGAATTTTTCATATTTTCACCAGAAAAAAAAAGACCTATAGGTTCTTAATATGTAATAATAACAACATGATACTGAGACAGAAACTGAAATAAAAGATGAAATTAAAAGCTGTCTGCTCCCCAGAGCCAGTGTGCACTTCATCCTAAGTCACTTGGCTGCCACAGCGATGCAGGCAGTGACTATCTAGGGTGACACAAGGCAGCCATTCTAGTGGGATAAAGAGGACTTTCATCCCTGCATTTCTCCAGCTGGAATAATGCAATGGTAGCTTGTGACAAACGAGCAGATGATCCCAGGCCAGTTTTAGGATGGCCACCCCAAAATGCCCAACAACAGACTCACAGCTCCCTGGGAGTTGTGTAGCCTTTGAGTGGGAGCCTTTGAGTTTGTGTAGTTTTTTCTCAGTCCCAGCTGAGAAGCACCAGCAGTGCAGGACAGAAAGCTGCTTCCAGTTACTGGATCCTCCTACGTGTTGTATGGATAACTACAAGACTTTGACCTAAAGTCACCTTGTCCTAGTTTCTAATTCACTTTTATGCAGATGAGATGGCAGGACTGGGGCTGTGGTATCCACACTGGCTCGTACTTTCAGAAATGAAAGCTGCAAAGATTTATTCATCTGAGCGACCACAACTAGGCTAGCTTGCAGGATCAGGCTTATTCTGCATGAAAAGGATGGATCTCTCTAACTCACAAAAAGGAAAATGAGAAATGTCAGTGGAAAAGGGGATGTGCTAACTCTTGGAAAACATTACTGGAAACTGCATTGCCCAGACCGAAATGTCATTTAAAGCCACGAGTGCCCCTTTAAGCAAAATATCAGCACAGGGAAGGAAGAACTAAAACCAGTAAAAGAGCAGCTGATAAAACATTGCCATCACATTTTCATAAATTATACCCCAGAATGTTTCACAAAATTGAGTAACAGAGGAAAACAGAAAAGATTTTTGTAGCACATTCCTTTGGCAAATGCAGGATAAAGCTCATCATGTGAGCTGAACTGTAAATGAGGGCCTTATGCTTTATAAAAATTCTCCTATTGTCCCAGGAAGGATGAGAGTCAGTTTCAGCATGTAAGTCCCATAAATAAAGTTAGTTAGCAGACAAAAATCAGCAGACTGTTTGGGGAGGAAAAAAAAAGAGAAAATACACTTTTTGTAGGAAAAATATAAGCACACTGCTGCTGCATTTCAAAACCGACTTCATTACACTGTACCAGAGATTAATTGGACCCACAAAATCCAGCAAACAGCATATGACATCCATCTACCTTTGCTGCTTCAGCATCCTCCCAAAAATATATAATGCAGGATTTTAAATAGTACGTTAGCCCAGTTTCCTTTCATAAAGTCTTACAGAGAAGTTTAGGAAAATTCCAAAAGTAGCATACTGATTGCCTCTGGGATTTTCCACTTAGAAATTTAATAGAAAATTACACCCCTACCCAATCTGTGAGGTTTCCATAACCTCCCTCGTGAATTTAATTTTCCAGCATATAATAAATTTTACCATTAGGCATATTTTCTGATATTGCTTCACCATTAAGGCTATTTCCCAATTTTTCTTTTCAGAACCACGTATACCCTCTGTGTAGTGTCTGGATGGCACCTTGAACTGAAGAGTTCAGGTCTGACTATGTCCATGCACACAGTTAGGATACAAATCGCTACTGTTAGTATTCAATTTGCTTCCCTCCTGCTCATTTTATGTCGTTATTCTGAGTGATAAGGTCGGTCAATATTACTGGAGCTAACGGGATTCTCCTGGGTACTCTGAGGAGACCAAGGCAAGATCTGCATTTGCATCTGTTCAAGTAGGCGTATGCAAGTATCACATAGTCTTCTCCTTGTCACAACACAGTCTGACTACACGTAAAACACAAGATGATGATCGGAGCTGTGTTTGCAGTTATCAGCAGTCATAACTGTAAACGCCTGGGTCCTTTCTCTACAGGCAACAGGCAAAAGCACTCTCGGCTGTAAAAAAAACCACTCGACCCTCAGTGAATTTAGCACAGTGAGCGAACTGGAAGTGTGGCTGAAGGCGTCAAGTGGTGAATAAATCAAAGCACTAATTTCAGCTGTGTTCGGGCCAGCCGTATGGCTGCAGTGACCTCACGGTGACCGTCGGGAGGGCTGCCAGACGCCCTAAATCTCGCTCCTCTGGAGAGCCGAGACTCTTTTCCTCTTGCTAAGGCGATCCAGTTTTTGGCCGAGGGACTCCCTTCCTCTTGTTAAGGCGATCCAGTTTTTGGCCGAGGGACTCCCTTCCTTCGGTAAGGCGATCCAGGTTTGGCAGAGCTCAGCCCAGCTGGCGGCTCGGCGCTCTTCTCCAGGCCTCGGTCCATGACACCAGCGGACACATCGCTGCGATAATCCCTGTAAAACACGGCAACAAACAGGTGTTGCCATCAGTTCCTGAGGTTTACCCTCTTCCGCACGCCAACTTCAACCCCCTCCCCGCCAGCCCTGGCCCGGTCCTGCTAAACACGAGGAGTTCCCCCCGCTGAGCCCCTGAGGGGAGCCGCGGGCAGCACCGCGGTGCCGAGCGGGCAGCGCCGGTGCCCGTGTGCGAGACGCGCGGCGGGAGGGGGACACAAAATGGCGCTGCCCCTCAGCCCCTCGCCCTCAGCCCGCGGCGGGGCCGAGTGGCGGCGGGCCGGCCCCGGGGTGGCGGCGGCTCCCGGCCGGCGGAACCGCCGCCTTCCTTCCCCCAGCAGGTGGCACCGGGGTCCCGGCGCCGGCGGCGAAGCCATTGCGGGCCGCCCTTCGCCGCCGGGCCGCGGCCGCGCAGCCGGCGGGGGGGAAGGCGGCGGCATCGCCCCCGCGGGGCTCCCCCCGCCGCACCCCGCTTTTCCTCAAAGTTCGGGGCGGGAGCGGGGGGGAGACCGGAGCCAACTTGTCCCGGATCCCTTTATTCGCCGCCGGAGCCGCCGTCTCTCCCAACCCCCGCGTGTATTGCTGATCGGAGGGACGGAGCTCGGTCCTGTGTCCGCCCCGCTCCTTCCTGCCCGCACCATGGAGTTCGCCCAGAGGAAGAGGAGCAGGAAATCCCAAAGCTTTAAACTGGTCAACGAAGGTAAGGCGGGGGCGGCCGGGCTTTGTTCGCTGGCCGGGGGCAGCCCCGACTTTTGCCCCGGGGGGAGCGGGGCGTTATGAAACGCCGGCGCCCCCGGGCCGCCGCTCCCTCCCGGCTCTGTTATTGAACTCCGCAATCCTCTCCCTGAACTCCCCGGAACCATTGCACGCCTATCTTTTTTTTTTTTTTTTTAATTTTATTTCTTTCGCCCCCTTCCCGTTTCCTCTTTCTTTTTTTAATTATTTTTTTGCATGTGTGTTACGTGTTGTTGCAAAACCACCACCTCAAGCCTCCCCACCACCACCTCAGGTGGACGTGTTATTTTTTTCCAAGCAAAGAACCTTGCACAAAATAAAGTTGGATCGTGTTTAGTGGTGAATCCTGCTTGGGCGGGGGGGAGAAAAAAAAATCGGGAAGCGAGCAAAAAATAATGACACTTGAGCAGCGACAGACCTCCTTAGTATTCAACTCTTGTGGATTTATTGTATTTGGGGTGGTTTTTTTCCTCTCCTCGTCTGTGTACATCCTTGTATTTCAAAGAAAAGCTGAATCGAGATCTCTTTATTAAAAATCCACGCAGGTAATTAATTGTACGTGGGCAGGGGAGAGCCGCTGGCGTGTAACTTGTTCGCTCGGGGTGTGTTTGCTTTTGGAAAAGAGGATATTTTAAAAGGGATCGTGAGGGGAGAAATATTTGAATTCATGTCGGGCAAGAAGCACAGCTCTGTGTTTCAGTCTTCTTGTTGTTGTTTTCTTTAATTAAAGGGGAAAAAAGATAGAGCCGCTGGTAGGCATTTTCACAGGTGGACTTCCCAGCCCTAGGGATTTATTTTGCTTGGGGATTTATCTCTTCTCTGGCCGATGAGATGTTTTTGCCCTGATGGAATTGATTCGAGATCGTTTCTCCTTTTGTGTTCTCAAGTGTTGGACGGGAATATCTCCATGAAACGCTGTGTGTGTCCTGCATGCCAAGTTCAAGGCAGGTGACTGCTTGGGTGTAATGTCACGCTGGTGAAAAGGGGGACACACACACGAGTGTCAAGACTTGCTGTCTGAGGAGTGCTCTGCAAAATTACCTTTGAAGCAAAGAAATTCAAAGATGGAAATAAACTCACTTGGTGGGAATAGTAAATAATGAGTGCTGTATCGTGGTAGGGGGGTCTGGGGCATCACACATGGTCCCTGTTAAAACTAGAGGGGCAGGGACTTGCCAGACGTGTCTGAAATGCATTGGAGGTCTGCATCCATTACCAAACCTATCAAAGGTGTAATTTTACAGAGAACGGGTTTGCTTTGTGGGCTTTTGGTAGTGAACATGCTCCCAACTTGGAGGCAGAGTTAGTGCATGACTGGGCTGGAGCATGGAGGTGGTGAAAGCAAAATGTGGAAAACAAAACTGAAATTTTGCTTTTTTTCTTTCCGTCCTAATGGGCCTGTAAAAAGAGTATTTGCCAGAAATAGGTTACTGTGTTGCCAATCTCAGTTGCCACGTCTTACAGGTTTAGATATGCCTCAGTGTATGAGACAATCTATTTAACCTTCTTTTAATAGGTAAATCCAGTTATGATGGTACATTATTAATAATATTTTATCTGTGGTCTCTTTTTGGATGTAGAGAGTCAAATACAGAGCTACACTAAAAGCATATGCTAGAGAGAAAATTATGTCTTTTTACTTTGAGAATGGAGGAGATAAAAATCAGGTTTTGTATGTGAGTCTGCACTCTCATACTCTTTTCTATCACAGTTGATTAGAAAGATAATTATGTATAAATAGTTGTCTCTTGTAATTGGCCTTTGCCTCTTGCAGGAGTTATTCTGTAATGTCACAGTTTAGTGTTTACTGTTGTGAAATTGATACAGTTTTCCAGTGCCTGGACTGTAACATCCGAGGCAGAAAAAGGAAACCAAAGAGAAAAGGCTATGCTGTATGAATTGGTTGGTAACACACCATCTGCTATTGATGTGTGCCCATACAATGCTTATTCTGTCCCAAAAATTACTTTGAGCACCTTATCACAATTATCAATAGTGACCAAATCAAGAAAAAGTCCATTGCTGTGCTAAAGCAGAGCCACCTCTGGGGTGAAATGTGGTGACTTTAAGGCAGCAGCTGCAGACCAGAAGAATATTGTGCCCAGCTGGATGTACAGGGAAGTGCTAGAGAAGAAACTGGGTGTAATCTGTATATCTAAGGACCATGAGTCTGTAAGTCATTTAAGTCCTAGTTTCCACTTACTTGCTTCCACAGATCTTGAATGTCCTTGAGAGGATGAAGGTGCAGAGTGTGGCAGGTAGACCCTGACTGGCTGTGGCCATCAGGTGCCCACCAAGCCACTTCATCCCACCCTCTGCTCAACAGGACAGCTAGTGATCATGGAAGGCAGCACAAACCCTGCCAGTTTAGTCTCATAAAAGAAGATTTTACTTCCTCAATGTCATATCTCAGACTTCACCTTTACCCATTTCATTGGCTGGGTGTGCTCGGGAAGCAGAGGAATCCTTTGTGTAGCACCTCATTCCTGACCTCTCCACTTCTGTGGTGTGCTTGTTTCCCCCTCATTTTCTTTCCAGGCCCTTCTCATTCTGTAGAATTGCTGTGTTAGGCTCGATTTTAGTTTACATACTGGGTTGTTCCTCCTCTTGTGCCTTCGAGACAGTTGTGCTGTACAAATAAACACACCTAACAAAAAAGTGACTTCCAGGAGACTTTTCCAGTCCTGTGCCTGTTTGGTCAGAGGTGCAGGTGTGCTGCTTGTGGAAGGAGCTGCTTCTGCTGCTCTCCACTTGTGTTTCACCTTTTAAGTGAATCCCCCCCCAAAGTCCCTTCCATGAGTTAATCTCTGCCTCGCTTTTTGTGAGGCAAGTAAACGTAAAACCAGTTGAAGGAGGGAGTAGCTGAGAGCGTTGGCAACTGGGAGGGCATGGAAGGAGTGAGGTGGGGAGGTGGCTCTTTCAAGACACTGAATATATTGTTCAGTCTTGAGCGATTTGCCGAAGGACAGAGCGTGTGCCAGTGTCAGAAACAGCATCCACGACGAGCTGCCTTGAGATACTTTTTTTTTTTTTACTTGGACTTACTATTTCTCTCTGTGTAAACAAAGCTTTGGTTTTAGTGAACACCTGCCTGGTGTTACAACAGAGACCTTCACAGCAAAATATTCTTTTATTTAAAATAGAAACTTAGTGGTGATTTTTTTTTTTTTTAATATCTTGTAACATCTCTGTATATGAGATGCCAGTGCTAATTCTTCAGATCATTACAGGCATTAATTTCTATAGATGGATATCCTAAGGTGTCACTGATCCTCCTTTCTTCAGAACAGTGACATCAGTATGAGTCAAGCCAGCTGAGCAATAGAGCCCTGATGTACATAGCTGATTCCTTACTGAGGTGAAGTTTGAAAGTTTGCCTTGGTCTCTGGGAAGGTAAAGTTTTCATTATAAATCTGCTTTCCTTCTGTAAAGCAAGAAGCCAGATAATTGGCATCTGGTGGGATAATTTGCTGTGAAAATGAACACAGTAATTTAGGGCAGGCATAGCTATTCCCTAAAATCTGTGAAATATTTGAGCTGAGTCTCTCCAGTGTGAGCAAAGGTTTTTTAGGAGGTGCTGATACAGAGCACATTTTCTGTGCTTAATTTGATGTACATGAAATAAACTGCAGATATATTGATAAATTGTGTAGTAAAACTGTAGCAATGTGTTCAGTGTTCATTTTTTCCAGATCACTTGAATTCTAATTTTTTTTATCGTTTTTCATTCCAGATTACCATCATGAGATATATAAGATCTCTGACTACAGCAATGATGTTAATGGGGAGACCAAAGAAACACAACCAGTTTTTTTAGGTATGTGCTTGTGTTGATTAATTTTCAAGCAACATTGCGTGGCCATTTGCAATTAGGGAGGAAAAAACCTCTGTGCAAGCACAGAAAGCGCCTGCCATTGTTTAATATGACGTTCTTTTCAAGACCCTTTTATTCTATGAATTGCCAATATATCCTTTATTAACACTGCTAAAAGTTGTAATTTCAGACATAAATGTTTATTAGTGTCTACACACAGTGCTAATTATCACTCACTCAGAGAGCCAGATGCTGACTCTGCAGTTTTGCAGCTCTGTGCTCACCCCATTTACATTGCATATTCCCTGGCATGCTTCACTGGCAATAGTTTGTGTAATTGGGGTATTACATCTTTGACATCTGGATAACAGAAATTCAATTTCCAGGAAGCTGCTATTTGTTTGGTTTTGCTTCTGCCTTGGGTGGGATAGAGGATTAATGTGCTGTCTTAATGTAATGTCCTTTCACCTCTGGAGCTTGCCTGCTAATCCTGGCATGGCAAAATTAAATTAAATCAACAGTTAAAAATGTGTAAAGAAAATACAGAAGTAATATAGAGTCTGCAGCATGATATGTATTACAGCATATCAGTGACTGTTTATCAGTGAACCTTTACCTTTCTTGTGTGCTTTTTATCCTCTATAACTCCTCATCTGCAGAGTGCTTCTTCTTTTCCTGCTTCTATTCCCTTCCAATTGCATCCAGGACCTCACCTGGGTAAAGCCCCTCTTGGCAAAGATTTGGCAGGCTAAATTCAAAGAAGGAGAGGCCAGTTTTTTGAGCTGTATAAAGCAAGCTTGTGAACACTCTGTTCAGGCTTTGGAGAAAGCAGATGCCTTTGCACCAAGAAACTTGGGAATGTCTGCCTCTCCTTTTCAGCACCAGGAGCCCAAACATTTTTGTGGGGTGATTTAAGGTTTCTGTAGCCTGTTTGTGTTGCCCCCTGGAGCCAGCGAGTAGCACTGAAATGTGGGAATTGGCACCTGAAGATACTCTGCATGCAAAATGCCTTTGTCTCCTAAATTCATAGTGCCACATCCTCTTCTAGAGGTCAGAAGCAAATGGGAGAGAATAGGAGGGTGTGTTAAAAATAAAACAGGGGTTGTAGCTGCCTTAAATTCCCTTCTCATCTTTTCACCATTTGAGCAAGTATTTCTTCCCTACACCCATTTCCAAGGAGAAGCAAAGGCCACTGCTGTGCTTTGTGTTTGGATTTCATGTTCTGGATGCACTTTTGGTGAAGTCTGATAAACCTGATGGAGTGAGCTCCACCACAGGTTTACTTGAAATGCTTTTTCTTCCAACTCTAAGTCATGAAAAGCTTTAGCAAGAATTAGGCATCAGCCAGGGTGCAGTAGTCTGTGCTTTGACATTTGTGCTGCAAGTCAGACCCACTGATCTTGATTTTGGCTTGGTTCTGTTGTCCTTAGATTTGTTTGGGTTTTTATTTTTTAGTAAGTCCAGCTTTTCATTGTGACTGAGTGTTCTGGCATTTAAGTGCCTCAAGTTCACCTATTTCAAGAGTCAGTCAGAATTTAACCTTTAAGAATGTGAATCCTATCAAGGATCTTCTTATCAGGTATAGTCAAGGTGTAATCACTGCTTCACTTGATTTCACTGCTTTATGCCAAAATTTATCTCTGAAGGATGTTTATTCCAACTTGGTGATTTAGAGTCAAGTTTGTTCTCCAGTTTAAGTGATCCATGGGATAGGCAGTTGAAACCTGAGTGTGATGCAGCATTTAGTATGGAATGGATGCTTTGATACAGCATTGAAACTATTACCTTTAGGGAAGGTGAAATGTTAGTGGCAGTCTATAAATGAGTGGAGCTTTATGAGGAATGGGATGTGGAAATGCCTTTGTTGCACAGCTGAGCATGGTTAACTCAAAACTGCTGTTGAGAAGAGGGGAGCTGCTAGGGTAAATGAGTAAATCACAAGAATCCAGTTTGTTTAATGTACAGATAAAATAAGGATGAGATGTCAAGAAGGACCTGATGAACCTAGATGATCTTTTTTGCACCAGCATAGATGGGCACAATTGGAGAAAATTGGAGAAAGCTTCAGTGCAGTTATAGGAACATGGTACTGGATATGTCCTCTGATGGCTGCAATGGTGCAGAGTCCAACTGCAATCTGAATAGAGCTTGGGAAGTTTTCTCATGTAGTGCAGTGCTGGGAGTGGGGATGTGGTGGCTTGTCCTCTCCCCCGGTCCTTTGTTCTGATAAGATGATGAACAAGAAGTCACATCTTTCTAGATGAAGGACATGCTAACCACAGTCTTTACAAGATTCCAGGGGAACGTGGAATATATTTTGTGGATGAGGACTGGCATGTCTTTTGTTTTGAAGGAAAGGGCTTAGTTATCTGGTACCAGGACAGACTGCTTAGCCTGAGAAGGAGGAGGCAGCCCAGAGTGAAATGCTTAAACCTCAAACATGGGTGAAATTTAAAACAGATCTGACTTCTGTTTTTCCAGTAAAGTCACAGGGCTGCTAGCCCAGACTTGGTATTACAAGCCCTAGAAGGGATCATGTACACTTGTGTCTTGTGGACAGTGATGATTAAACTTACATTATCTATTAAAAAAATCTTTTGCATACACCATATAGGTTTTTTCCAGTCTTAATATTTTTATTACCAACACAAAAAAGTGGAAATCCAGTATACTTCCAGACTGAGTGTTTTTACAATGCTTTCAACTTGAAATTCCGGCTCTATGTTTGAAAGGTTAATGCAGAAAACTAATTATATTATCCTGGTAATCAAATGTGTGATGAGACATTTGTCTGTGTAATTAACAGTGAAGAACTTTTATAGTTTCATAAAATTGCACGCTACACACAGTGTGCTTGGAGCATTTGTTTTGAAGAGATGTCCAAAGCAGAGATGTTTATGACTGATATAAAGTGGAACTGAAATGTACTGTAATGCAGGTGTCTGTGCATTTTACAGCATTTCACATTGTTGAAATGGAAGGCAGCAGATTAATAACTTCACTGTGTCATGGTAAAAATAAATAATGTGTTCTTGGAGCAGGGGAGCAATGCATAAGTTACTCACTAATTTCAAGAATTTATTCTGTCCCAGAAATTATATCCTTTGCAATTTATTCACAGAGAAAAAGTTGACTTAACAAGTAACTTCACAGACTTGTGTTACTGTTAATAGGATTATATCCCAAGTCTGGTTGTTGCAGCAGTGGCTTCTGTAATTAAGACTCCATAGAAGTTTATTTTATGTATCTGTGTTCTCTAATGACCTAACTTGGTAAAGTATTTCCCTTGGGGGCTAAAGCGTGGTCTTGGCCTGGGCTATTTCCAAGAACTGGGGGATGTTGATGTGTATCTATTATTACTTTTTTAATTATATGACCCCATTAATATATACTTTTATTGAGTAGTTGCTCACTTGTCCTTTCCCAAGTGATTTAGTATGGCATGAAAGTGTGTAATTTGGGCTTCTGTAGCTTCTCCTGTTGGATGTTTTGAAACTCTTTCACCAGGCTCTTCCAAAGATTTACTTTGTGGTGGGAGTGGTGGCTGGGCCACCTGGTATGACCCAGTTTCCAGGGAAATAACCCCAAAAGCCTGAATGCTCTCAGGGTCTGATCCTGGGTTTGATTCTGCAAATTTCTTTGCTTGCATTAGTGTTTGTGGGGTTTAATAACTTTGTTTGTCTCATGATAGTCAGGGTTATCAAACCATGTGTTTCTGTGCTTGCTTTGTAAGAGGTCTGATTTGAGGGTGATCCAGTTTTCCTGCATATCTAATTCTAGTGCTTTGTGTGGTGACATGAACATAGCAAATGCTTTGAGGTGATGTTTCAGAGCATTGCTAAGGTGCCTCGACTCAGACAGCTTCAATGTCCCCATGTTAGTCTAGCAGAGTCACATTCTCCAGCTTGTAACTCATGTAGCTTGTGTGACCCTCTGACACTGTTCATGACCACTGCCCTCCCTGCTGACTTGGGGTTTAGGTTTTTAATTTGCCAAGGATGTTGTTGCCTAAGTGTAGAATCTTGTATGCTGGCAAAGACCTGGGATCACTTTTTTGGGAAATGTGTGCTTACCCCATCAGTTTAGTTCACAGATGCCTGATTCCAGTTATGCACAGAGAAGCCACAGTAAGATTCCACGTGATTGAGGAGACCTTTGCTCTGATAAGGAATCATGCACATGGATCCTCTGTTTTCCCCATGCTGACCTCTGCAACTTTCTGTTTCAGGACAACTTGTGGTACAAGATGACCAAAAAATACCTAGATTTTTGAAAATTAGGATTTGATGTGGGTATAGTTCTTGCTGAGAAGGGCTGCTGAGCTTCCTTGTAGGATAACTGTGTCTGATGGAAATACCTGAACAGCGTGTAGCATTCCAAAAGGTGTTTTGGTGAGTTCAGCCTGGTTGAGCAGTGGAGATGTGTGCCCTGTGTGTACATACTTGCTGATTCCTTGAGCTGAATCAGCCCTTTACAGTCTTCAAACACAGCAGGCGAGTTTTGCTGGCCCCCTTCCAGAGAGGGCAGCATTCAAATGGCATCTAATAAATTGCAGTTTAATATGCTTAATTATATAACCCTTTGCACTTACTTATTATTTTTTTGTTGAGCTTTCACACCATATGGTTCAACTTTCACTTTTTCTCACCTCTGAAGCCTTGTTTCCATACAAACCAGACTCCTGTTGTCAGCTCACATGTGTTTGTCTGGCTGCCTGTTGCTGCCATTCCTACCCTCACAACAGCTCCACCAATTTCAGTGTAGTTGGACACAAATTGGTAAAATCTGAGATAAAAGTAACTTCTTTAAGCAGCCTGATCCAGGAGAAATCCCTATTTGTATGTTCAACAGATGAAAAAATTCCACAGGTGTTTTGTCTGTCAAAAAACCATAAAATTAAACTGTAATTAATAGAAAAATTGTATGTTCAAAGTCAGCTTGTGAATATTTCCCAAAGTATATGAGAAACACAAATGTTAAAAATAAAGGAAGGAATTCCAAAATACTGGACAAAGAGATATCATGATGGTTATTTGGTTTTGTGAGTCAAAGGAAGGAAATCTCAGATACAGACATTTGTCCAACTTTAATTCTGTTCACCCATTTATACACTTTAAAGCACACACATTAATACAGTCATGGTTGCCACTTCTGTGATAGTGGGATAAAATTAATGCTTGAACATATCAATATGGTCACATACAATTTTATAATTGTTTGCAGTGCTATGATAATATTTGATAAACTGTTCAGGAAAAGCATAACAAGGTGTTGGTAGGCAGTGTGATATATTAAGTTTAATAAACATAGTAGTGAAAAGATAGACAGGCATATAGGAGTGAAGAATGTAATAAATAAATTATCATTAATATGTTGTTAACTGGAGTTGTTTACAGGCCTGTTGCTTCAGACAGCTGCACACTTAGCACGTGGATGCTACTGCAGCCTGGAACAGTTTTCTGGTTTCCATTTATTCCTTTGTAATTTTAAACATTCTTGCATCTTTCAAAGAAGGAAGTTTTTATGTCCTGTACACTTTCAGTAAGGAAATAGATTGAAATTAATTTTGAGGAAATTACTGTTTATGTTGTGTAGCATTTATTAAAGGGCTTTGTTTTGGGTTTTTTTTGGATTTTTTTTGTTGTTGTTGTTTTTATAAGATTATAGTTACATCACATAGGAAAAAGAATAGCTTGTTTGTAAGGGGTCATCGTGGAAACAACTGTAACAGTAGTTATTTCAAATTCCTAATATGTTTTTGTTATGACAATTGACATCTCTATATACAAGTTATAAATAGGGCTCTAACTTGCCATGGTTCTATTTGAATAGCATTTTGTAAGTGTCTTAGTATTTTGCAAGTAACTTCAATGGCTTCAGATAAAACCCAGGGTTTTACATGGGGTATCCAAATGGCAAATCCTGTAGGCAGCCTTTGGAGGCATCCCCATCTCCCTGGAAAGGGTGAGGAGCTCTGGTATGTGTACAGAGAGAGGCTGAAGTATGCACCCATCTTCTCTTCTCAGGCCTCAGCATCTATCTTAGAAAGCTTTGCACAGAGAGATGATGCAGATTTCTATGTAATAAATGATTTTTTTTCCAGTGCTTTATTATTCTATTTAGCATTTAAAAGAAGGCTGGCTCTTCCACAGGACATACTAATTTGAGTTGTTGTGTTTTCTCTGTGCCCCATCTATTTTTTTTTTCATTTGAAAATTACATGGTTATTATCTGTGAAAATTATCAGCAGTGGAATAACTGATAACAAAACGCTGTCCTTGGGCTCTAGAGCTAATAGCCAAATGAGGTAACCAGGAAGCAAGAAGTTAAATCTGTTACTGGTGTTGCACCTATCTGCAGATTCAGATGGTGTAACATCATCTGCTCTCCACTCCTGTGGGGAGGATGCTGCTGTTGCTGGTCAGCTACAAACTAAAAGCTGGAAAAAGGCATGACTGGGAGAGGGGAGATGTAAACTTGCACTGAAGACTAAGTCAGGCTTATAGCCTGTAGGATTTTAATATGCTTTCTTGCAAAAGGGAAGACCTATTTTAAAAACAAAACAAAAAACAAACAGAAAAATCCCTGAAAAAACTCTGAAAACCCAAACCCCAACAAACGAGCTTACAAAGGGTGAATCTCCCTGTAAGGATCTACCTAATCAAAAAGATAAGTTTATGTAGGGTGCAAGTTCAGGGCTTATTCTAACATAAATGCAGTGGGTTTTTTCTGTCTGGAGTTAAGTATGCTCATGTCACTGTATAGAAAGACTTCTATATAAAGGAACAAGGGAACAGAATCAAGGCTGAATAAGCTCAATTAACATTAATATTTTATGTAATTGGGTAACGGAAATTTAATCTTTCTAACAACATGTCACCCGACCAGACACGTAGCACAGTCCCTGCACCCAGCAGGAGGAGGTGGGTGGGAAGCTGTTTTGATACTCACACACTTTTTGCCATTGAGTACAAATCCAAATTGCCAACTTAAAACTCCCAGGGTAATGTTAAATGGCAAGACAGGAAGGGACTGCTCCAGGCTGTGGTGTGGTGGGAACATTTGGAGCTGGGATAGGGGCAGGTACAGCTGTGTACAGGAGAAAGGCAGCATGCAGTGTAGGGCTGTGAGTATCTCAGTAATTGGAGTCCAGTGCTACTCTGCAGACTTTCAAGGTTGGGAACTGCAAACAGTCAACCCCTGCTTGGGTTGGGGCCAAAAAGTGTCATTCTAAAGGAGTTGGTGCTGTTACTGTTAATGAAATCACACCCGCACACAGAAATCTGCAGGCAAACCAACAAAATAAATAAATACAGTGCAGAACTTCCTTGCAGAGAGTTTTTCTCACTGTGTTAGCTGGAGTGGAAATGGTGCTGGAGTGTTGCTGTACGGGGTTGGCAAATATTTTTCTAAGTTTGGACTCAAAGCTTTCTTGCAAGCCGCCCACTCTCCTCGCTGGATCAGGGTGGGCTGGAGCCAGCTGGCAGCAGCCCAGGGAACCGGTGCACCAGGTCAAGCAGGAGATGCTGGGATCCAGCAGAGGTTGGAGCACATTGTTCAGCTCCTCTCCCCTTCTGCTCATTCTCCTCCCTCTTTTGGATGTTCAGCACACCGGGCTTGCAGCAGTCCCAGCCACACCGAGCTTGGCCTGTGTTGGGGAGGGTTTGCTGCTCTTTTAGCTGTCTGGTTTAGCTGCTACCTAAACGTGCACCTAAGTTTAGGCAACTGAATGGTGCTATTGAGTTGTTAAAATTGTTCACATGCCTGGAATTTAGCACGCTTTCAAGTACCTTGTTGAACCAGAGACGGCACACCTTGCATCTTAGGTTTTTGGAGAGTAGTTTTTTTTTCTTCTAAAGTTTCTTTAGAACACTTGCTTTTCCAAAAATAGGTTTATTTAGGGAAGCAGGAGTATAAATTGAATAGAGGATACCAGGCATTTTTGTATTAAGTATTCTATAAAGGAAGGTTCATTCATCAGTTTCTAGATCTTACTTATGACATTTGCTTAGGGTATTTAATTTTTCTATTACCAGTAAGAAAACCAGAAGCTTCTTTCTTCAGAAAGGGCAACGAATACTTCCTTATTACTCATGAAATGTAATATATGCTTTAACAAGCAAAACAGGCTACTATCTGCCCAAAACACTCTATTCATTGTGCAATCAGCAGTTTCATATGTAAAATTAATACTTAAATGGTGCCAGGTATATTAAGTATGCAACTTTTATTATTTAAATGCCCTGAATTTATTTGGAACAGTCACATTTTTCTGGTATATATTTTCATTTTCTTTTTAGAGTCTACGTTTTTAAGACATCCAGCAATTCAGCTATCTGCAGTTACACACATATTAGCTACTGTTTAATTTATTCCTGTATAATCCAGTATTACTAAATTCTGTGGAATAAGGAACTAATTCTGTTCATTAAAATCAATAGATGCAGTGCTGTTCTGCATGTGTGTGGTGTGGTGCTTTCTGTGCTTTATTTTTTTTTTGTAGGATCTATCCTTGAGCATACAGCAACCTGATACATAAAGGATCTGATCCTTTGGGCTTTACTCAGGGAAAATATCCACTGATGTCAATGCCTGAATAGGATCAGGCTCTTAAAAGGACAGTTTATTTGAAATTGCTATGGCTGTTATTATTTCCTTCTGGCAAAAAATAATCTTACTCATCAAAGCCTTAGAAACAACATCAAGAAAGCCAAGTTCAGCAGGTCTTTCAGGCATGAGAGCTGTCAGCCATGGCTGTGTGAAGGCATAGCCTGGTACATCCCAATGACCATTCAAGCATCCCTTTTCTTTCTCGTTGTTATTTATTTATTTATTTATTTGCTCCAACTCTTATTGGCATCTAAAACCACTAATTGCTACCCATTACTGTTTTTGCTAATTTCCAGTGATAACTGTGGCTCTGTTTTCATTAGGAGATGAAAGCCGGGAAATTAAAAAACAAATTACAGGGATGAGAAGATTACTGAATGACAGCACTGGAAGAATCTATCAACGAGTTGGCAAAGAAGGAGAAAAACTGAAGGAGGAGCCCCAAGATTTAGACTTAGCCTGGGCCCAGCGCCTGAATCCCCCTGCGGAGTCCCAGGCGAGCCTTCATCCGTCCCAGAGCGGAGCATGGAATGAGTTATCACCCCAAGCCAGCCACCTGTCAGGGCAATATGGAACTCGATCCAAAACATTCCAAAATCAGGCTCGAACTGTGGCATCCAATGGTATGACCTGTTAGACACTGAGAATGGTGCCTTTTTTTCCCTCCCTCTCCTTGTTGTCTACTAAATATCTGCCTTTGTTGTGATGATATATTGTAGCACTGCACTGAAAGCAGTTATAGTTCAGAGTCTACAAAATGAGCACATAGTTATCACTTCAAAAAGGTGTGAAAGTGGGCACTGTACATTCTGCTACCATCTGTCTTAGCTTTTAAAATGGTGATAGGATAGAATTACTCAATGCCTTTACAAGCTTAATTTCTATACAGTACTTACTAAAACAGCTTTTGTCATTGTTATTAAATTCATGGCTAATTAAATGTCAACCTATACCACTCCTCTTTGCTGTGAGTAATGTAGCACTGTTGTGACACCAGTTGTGGAGCAGGATTCTACTGCCTTTCATAAAGGGATGGCATCAGCCTTATAACTGGCCACTGAACTGCAGGTACAAAATTCCATCACAGCCTTAGGCTTTTATTCCAATGAGACTATTGGAGAAAAGAGATGATGGAGTCTACCTGTGAACAGCATGTTCTAGACTGTGGCCAATCCAGTACTGGCAGAGAATTCTGCCCTGAAGTAGATGGCAGTGTGCCTTTAAAAAGCCTTTTTTCTTATTAAGTCCCAGAGAATGGAAGTTTTGCTGCCAGATTAAAAAACTCTGCTGTCAAAACCCCACCATAACAATCTTCTAAATATGGAAGGACCCAAAATTCATCACACATCTCCTTCTTTGTCCTCAGAGGCCCTGGGCACTGGCAGGGACAGTTCTCTGCATGCACAGAAGTGCCCAAGCCTGCATAGATTAGGTGCCTTGTTCCCAAATCCAGAAAGTAGGTGGAGCAGCACCTCTATCCCCTCAGGGGCCTGATTCAGCATGTGAGCTAAAATGTGTTGACAGGATTTGGCCCTATATGCAAGAAAATGTCAGCTTTGATTTTTTTATATGTGGAGGAAGGATTCAGTTGATTCATGATCTCTTAGAGGTTTGAAGTGGTCAATGGGACGTGGAAGGGTCAGGTTGAGCAACCTGCTGGGCTGGGCAGGAGAAATGCCCAAGCTCCCAGCCCTTGGGGGAGGCACCCAGGGGGCACCTCCCTTTGCAGCTGTCCTGCTGCTGAAAGGAATGCAATCTTTTGGGTTATTACATAAAGGAGGGTGTGGGCCTTCTCCTCTGGCCGCCTTTGAAAAGACAATCTGTGTAGCAGTTGGGTTTGAAGTGTCTGCCTCTGATGGGCTCTTGTGATCCTGACTCCTGCTTGGGCTCCAAACCCTGGTCTCTAGGGAAGAAAAACTTTTGATGCATTTCTGAGCAGTGAGAAAAACTTTTGATGCATTTCTGAGCCCTGAAACTGCTCCTCACCCAGTACATAGCTCTTCTGGGTGTTTTAACAGCCTGATTCCCCCCCAACCCTTGCATTGAGAGCCTGAGCATCAAACTCAGTATTTTAGATGTTATTCAGAGGATGGACAAAGTTCTTAAAAGCTGGGTGTAGAAATGTTGAGCAGTACTTCAAGGGAGATTTTACTCCTTGGTTCTCACCGTGGTGTTTAAGTTACCAGAACAAAACTGCCAGACATAATGTTATTACCTGGGGCTGTCAGGCTTAGGTCATCACTGGGGAGATGTTCAGGCATCTGTACTAGGTGATGAAGAGTTTCTGAGTCCAGAAACTCTTTCTGTCCACTGTGGATAGATACTATGTAAAAAATGAAGATCTGTGTTGTAGGCCATCTGAATTGCTCAAAGTTGAATGTAATAGACACATCAAGTCCATCCCAGCGGTGCACTTATCCACTCACAGGGTGAGGTGGTTCAAGGAGAGGCTGCAATAAATGTTTCATAGGTGCTGGTGTGGAAAACATTCACAAGAAAGTTATTGACAGTGATGCCTGGAGAGGGTACCTAGAGCAGAGGCTAGACAGAGTAAGAGAAATAAAGTAGGGATTTGTTAAAAAGGCCTTCAAAGGATACACCTTGGGCAGTGCAAGAGCCTGGCCCAGGCTACACCCAAGATGGATGATGGGTCACGAGTTTTTCACTCTTTTATAAGTTTGGTCCATTTACATTTTGGGGTTAATTGTCCAATCACAGCTTCAGGTAATGAAGTGACATTCTCCCAGTTTTACTCCCCCTAATTTGCTTTTGTTTCTACTTTTTGGGGCTTGGAAAAGGATTGTTTTGTCTTACTAAACTGTGAAGAGAACTTTCTAACACTCTATATGAATTTCAGAGTTATATACTAATGCAGTACAGAATCTGAAAAATGTGAGAGCTAAAACTTAAGGCATCAACTAAAATAAAAGAATAGACATTGCTGCAAAAGAGGGAAGAGTAGGAACATGAAAACTAAAGGGATTTATTCCAGACCAGACTTAAGGTGGTGGTTCCACAAGTCAGGGTGTAAGGTAGACATCTGTGACCCACTGTTTTAGTGGCAGCCACCTGGACTACAGATAATGAGCACCATGTCTGTCCTATTATAGACAGTAAACTCACACTTGAGTTTTATTCCTTGTGTTCTGTACCAAATCCAGCAGTAGTACAACAGCTGAATTGTTTTTGGGTTGCATCAAGATCATTCTCACTGGGTAGTTCTTGCATGCTTTTCCAGTATAAACTGGTAGTAATGTTAGTTACAGTGAGTGAATTCCCCCTCAGCAGATGCAGCTGGAAGAAAACACTGTCCTGGGCTACTTACTGCTCACGTGGGGGAAGCAACTCCTGTACTTGTGGCATCTCCTTCTCTCAGTCACACAGACAGGTATCAAATTTGCCTGCTGGCCAGCTTCCAAAAGAGAGGGAGATGGCTCTTTAAAGACTCCTTCATAAAAATAAAAAGTCTGATCTCCTTTTAAAATTAAAAATTGATTTATAACAGTTGAAAAGGGTTGCTTTTGTCCTCTAAAAATGATAAAGATAGTGCTTAGAACAATGACTGAGAACACTCTACTAGATATTTCTTACAACACAATAGCTGATCAGAGGAGGGAGGATAGAAAGAAAATAAAAAACCCTCATGAATATGTAAGGAGTCAGTAGAACCCTGCTTTGATTTAAAATATTGGTGGTCTCTTTTCCCATTCCCAGTACCTATGGTAGATTTACATGGGTAATTTCTATCAATGCTAATGGGGATTATAAAGTAAATCCCCTATGCCTCAATGGGAAAATAGACCCTGTGGTTTTCCATCAGGAGCCTGTGTGCCTGTGTGTTTTCATTAGGAACATGTTATATTGCAACAGGAAAGATGCACAGGTATTTACTGATACAATTTGTTCAAGTTTTCACGTGCAATTCACCATGATGTAGAGCCTTGGTTAAGAAGGAAACAAAAACCACCAACCCTTTTTCCCCCCAGAGTCTTTCAGATATCATTTCCAGAAGAAAACACTTCCAGAAGCCCTCTAGAATATTGAACTCTGATCAAGAGAAAGGACAGGCTTCATCCCAAGGATCTTTTAGTCTAAAACAACTGAGAAAGGAGTGAGGGAAGGATGGTCTTACTTTGTATTAGTCTGTTAATAAAACTCTTCTAAATTCTGGGGCTCCCATTTCTGGGGTACCTGCTTGTCTTACTGAAAGGTAGAGTTATGCTGGTGCTATTAAATTATAAGTTGTCTTGAAATTCAGCTACTTAAAAATCTACTTAAAACATGTAGGTGAAGGGTGTTGGTGGAGCCAAGTTGAGGGATTCTGATTAATCTGCTGCAAAGCTAAAGATAACAATTTTTTTTTTATCTCTGTACCTGTAACAATGGGCTAAACATTTTGTGGACCATTGAAAAGGTAACATCTCATCCATGCCCCAAGGAACTTCCAGTGAATAGATTGTGTACAAAGGAAGGGTGAGATCAAACTAGGCAGAGTCCTGCTGAGTCAGAAGCCTTTTTGTTTCATTTTGAGATTCTCAGCCTGTTTTCCAAATAACTTCTTAGTATAAAAATTGTTTTATTTGCAGCTGAAACCTTTGAGAGATGAAGCCAGTGATTCTATGGCATTTGCAACTGCTAGATTTGCAGGGATTTTGTTAACTACTCCATTTATCTTAATACAGTTTTAACAGATTTTATCCATGTATGATATTTTAAAATACCAAAATTTGTAATTGCAGGAGTGTGGAGTATCTAAATATTGGAGGAAAAGAGGAATGGGACACCCAGAAGATGCCAGCTGTCTTTAAGCGATGCATTAGTTTAGCTTTCCAAGCAGCTCACCTTTGGAGTGTTACCATGAGTTTGCTCAAGTCCTTCAGGTCTGAAGGACTGTATGGAAGGAGGCAGAGAACAAGTGCCTGGTGGTGGCCAGATTTTCACTTATTTCAAATGAGGATTAAAGTCAGGGCATCTGTGTGGATCTGACATCAGGGATCTCTGATGAAAGAACACAACCCAAACCTGAAAAGGTATTAATAACCTGGTTTGGCTTCAGAGGAAAGCAGAAGTAATAATGAAAAATGAGAAGATTTTATAAGTGGAGATTAAATGAATTGCTTCTGTTCACTTTAGCTAGGTAAGGATTAAAGGGCACCTGGTAAGTGTCAGGCTACAGAAGAAAAAGGGAAATACACTGGCTGAAGTCCACATGTGACACCAAGTGAGGTTATTTTGTTAGGTGCATTTGTACCTATCTTCATGAAATGGTCATCCCTCCTCCTGCAGTCCTGAGCAGTAAAATAGCCATCAATTTAAATCATTGTGAGGATATTTGGAAAGGAAGGGAGGTGCATCCCATCTAGTCTCAGCTTCAACCAGATACTGTTAGGTGTTTTGTTGAATTTTGAAATTTTTATTTGCAGCTAGGGATAGCTGTCTAGGGATACAGCTGTCTTAAGCTAAAGTGCAGGATACAACTATCCTGCAAAGTTAGAAATCCCTCAGCTGTTACAGCCTGTTCTAATTCAGAACAAAAAATGCAAAATTTCTGGAAAGTAAGGCAGTAATAAAAGCACTGCTGAGGGCCTAGAACTATGTGAGTTCAGTTAAACACTCATAAGAATTACTAGAGAAAAGGAATGTCTTGAACTACTATATTAATTTTCAAAGGGAGACTCTGGAAACCCCATCTTGCAGGTCACAGTGGTGGAAAACATTGAAAACAATCCCACCCTACCAAACAGAAGAACAGATTTGAAAGCTTTCATGTGGCTCTTTTCTCTCATGTTGTTTTGTTTGGTTTTTTTCTCCAAGTAGGGTATTTTATTTTCATTCTCTCTTCTTCACATGGTAAAGAATCACCTGTAAGATTCAAGCAGTTTAAAAATTGCTAGACCCTCATTTTATGTACAGCACAAACCTTTATTGCACAGACTGTCTTCATTCTTTGTAAGACTGTTCCAGGAGCTGGGCTTTTTTATGTGTGTGTGATAAAATAAGTATGTTTGTAATGAGGTTTGCTGCTTTTGTTATTCAAGATGATCCAGCCTGACAATAGAAAGCCCTGCTGTGAGGAGTGCATTATATTCACACTCTGAGCAGTCTTCTCCAGCCCATGTAACATTTCATCCCAACTCAATATAATTGCACATATTAGAAATTGAGTAAAAACTAGTGGTCCCTTCCTCTTAAAAGGAATCATGTTGAAAATTACTTCCTTTCATGCTTTTGATCTGATTTTACAATCTAGTATATTGATCATAGCTTCAAACACCTGCCAATTGTTGGCTGGGTGATTTTGTGTGGCTTACATCTCACCCATTTCATTCCACTCTCTTTCAGGAGAAATTCCAATGGTGAATTCATCAGTTGGACCAAACTGCTGTACGTGTAATTGCCAGTCAACCCTGCAGGCCATTCTTCAGGAGCTCAAGACCATGCGAAAATTGATGCAGCTGCAAGCAGGTACAGTGACCAGTCCTGGATGTGCAAACCTGTGGCAAGCAATGACTTGAGGATGGCCCAGTTTGATGAGATGGTCTTTGGAGACCCTTCCAAACCCAAACTGTTCTATGATTCTGTGATCTTCCTGTTAGGGAATGGTCTAGGGGATTAAAGTCTGTGTGGGCACTCAGGAAAACTTGGATTGTTTCCTGCTGTCCTGACATATCAAAGTCAAAGTCAAATTTTCACAGGTTTCTTGGAAATGCAACTTCTACTTTTCAGATCCTTAGCTGAAATATGGGATTTTATCTTTAGCCTTTTAAGGCTAAATTGAAAATAAAATTAATGTGATCAGATACATAATGAGAGCTGAGTGGGCAGGTCAATATGCCCACTTTGTTTTCACAGTGCATTGATCCAGGGGGGCCAAGTGCTACCTCACCTGTGTTCTCCTTAGCACTTCACTAATCTTAGGGGTAAGAAAAGTAAAATTTGAAGGTAGCTGAAAGTTACCAAATAGCTCTTCATTCAAACCTCTTTTAGCTCTGTGGTAGTCTCAGCTGAGCTAGCTACTGCATGTTGTGGCCTCCACCCTTCCTCTGGCTATGAAGCACCAGCTTTTAGTGTGTATACCAGCAATAATTTGTTCACTGGGGAAAATTACTGAGTCTAGTTTTCTCCTAGGTTGGGAGCTGAAACAGAACAGTGCAGAGCCAGAGGAGTAGTTGAGCCAGCAAGATAATGAGAACGTGGTAGGTAGAGTTAAGTCATCATAGGCTGATGTCAAGCTGCAGGCTCTGTGCTACCTAAAAATTAGTGTTAATACTAATGAGGAGATGGAGATGTTGGAAATTTTGTCAGCTGACTTGCCCATCCAGCATGAGTGATGGGGACTGGAGCCATGGAGGCTTCTCTTGTGGAGAGGCTGGATAAGACCTCTGTAAGAAAAGGGAGTGTTGAGTAATTAACTGAAAGATGGGTGGAGTGAAGGGCTGACTAAACTCCTTGTCTCCACGGTGTATAATGTTTGAGTGAGTGATGGGAATGATCAGACAGGTTTTGTAATATCAGTTGGCACACATAAAAATGCTTTTCTAGAAGTCATCAGTTTACAAAGAAGTACACCAAAGCCCAGTTTTACAATTTTTGCTGGTACATGGGATTTTTTATGCAATCACACCAATTTATGTCATTGAAATCACATGGGTGATTGAAAAATGGCTTGTGAGTGAGAGTTAGAAAACTGGGGTCTATGCCAAAAGAGCTGACTCCTCAGTAGTAGAACATTTCTTATTTATTATGTATCTACAGAGTAGGTACCTTTGTTAATTCATGAATCTTTTGATTCACTTGGAATACTTCATATTTTCTGAAATTAGGGTTTTGCAGAGAAAAAAATATCATTTGGCATTTTTGTCGCTAAAAGAAAAAAAAAACGTAAAATTCAAACCTATAAGTGAAAGTGTAATAACCTATTTTAGTATTCAGACACCCTACTGTCTTAATTATAAACTACACATCACAGTCTTGTAAATCCTTGCCAGAAATGAAATATTCCAGAAATATTTTAATAAACAATAGTTTGAGGTTTGTTTTCTTCCTGAAGCTTTGTAGATGAGGATTTTTTTATCTTGCTCATATCTTGAATAAGTTTGATTTGCATGTAGAGCACTTGTGGCTTTTTCTTTGTTTTGACCTTGATGTTAGTGATTTATCCACACACATAATGGTATCTTGATAGCATTCTTCTGGAGGGCTTGTTCATATTGGTACAGGTTCAGGATTGGTGCCTTAATTTATACAAATGATTGTGAATGCTGGAAAATGCAAAATATTGATAAATGTAAAATATGGTTTCTCATATTTCAGAGGTAATACATGTCAGCTTTTGTGTATGAGCAAAACAAACTGATGGAATTTTGGGTTACTTTTTTTCCCCTCAGAAATTAAACTATTGAATAGTGTTTTCACTCATTCTTGACATAATGGTACTTGAAATGTTCTTGCTGAGCTAATTAACTTGGAGACCACTGTCATAAAAATAACTGTAATTGCATTAGCACTTGTATTATCTTACTTTATCAGGAGCAGATCCTCAAAGAGTGAGATTCTCAGTCATTCAGAGGACACACAAATTAATCATCACTTAAGTGCTTTATGTCACCAGCCATCCAGTGGTCACTAGGAAAAAGAACTGTGTATTCCTCATTTCCTTAAAATACTGTTCATCAGTATGGCTTGAAAAGGCTTGAAAAGCCTCACCACAGAGCTCACTGTCATTATCCCCATTGTTCAGATTGGAAAATTATGCAAAGGTGATAAAACTTATTTGTTTCCCATGCACCAGCAGCCCTGAAAATCACATCACTTATCTAGAAAATAAGTTCAATGAGTCAGTAGTTTAATGGTGCATCTGTGTGGATGTTCATGGGCTTTTGTCTGTAAAATTAATGCATTAATTTCTTTCATTCAGTTGGGACTCAAAACAGACAGCAGCCTCCCGTTCCTCTGATTTGTGCACAGAAGTCAACAATATCAAGAAAGAGAAATAAAAAGAGAAAACTGCCCCTCAAAGTTGTTGAAGCAGTTTCCACAAATAAGAAACCCAGCTCTCCAGAGAATGAGAAGAGGCTGACAGCAAACTCAGAACAATCGAGTCTGCAAGCAATTGAACCCCCCCTGAAGCCAGAGACCCCTGTTTCAGGGTTTGGAATTATCCTTGAATCAGCTTCATCAGATGTAAGTTAAAATTTTAATATGCAGCATTGCAAGATTTTGAAATACTGACTCATTCAGAAGAATCAGTACTCGAGTCACATTGATGCATCTTCCCACTTTTTGTTAGAATGAACAAACAAATCTTGGGTAGGAGTGAATGGAGATGTTAGGGTTAGATGTGGGGAGTGCTCATTACAGGGTTTTGGGTCTTTTTTTTCAACTTTCACAAGCAGGAAGTTTTCCCTTGAGTTCAAGGCTCCTGTTCTTCGAGCTTTCAGTGGAAACTTGTTCTTCATCTCTCCCAATGCCAAGAGCCACAGTTGAGGTGAGGAGCCATGAAAAGTGCAAGGTGTGCAAAGCATTCACAGCCCCATCATTGCTGATGAGCTCATGTAATCCACACGTGGGTCTTTATCCTGCCAAGGAGTATTTATGTGCCTTCCTGCTTTTCTGGTCCCACTGACTTTGGGGGACTCTTCATCTCTGGAAAAATTCATATTCAGTCTTTGCTGAATTGGGTCCTTTGGTCTTGATTGCTGTGTGTGCTGTAGTAGGGCCTCAGCACTGTTGATGATGTCAGTGTGACTAAAATGGCCAAAATTTGCCACTCTAAGAACATGCACTTTTCCCATAGAAAATTGCAGTAAGCATGTTTTCCTGATTCATGTACACACTGATAGAAATTACATGTATTGGTGGATGATTGGCTTTGTTTAATGACCAAATTGATGTCATCCAAACCAGTTCACTGACAAGTAAACTGCTCATTAATTTCTCTAATATATTTTTAATTTTGAGCAGGCTCTTTCCAATTTCCTAAGTACTATGAGCTAGAAAAACATAATTAAATTCTGTATCAATAAGCATAAATGAAAACAATGCAGCAGATAATATTCTATCCCTCTGGAAGAGGGAACTAATAATAAAAAAGAGCAGTCAGGATAATTCAGTTACAGAGATGCAAGCCACACCACTAATTAGGTTGCTACAGAGTCAGTGTAGTGATACAGAGTAACTAGTTTATGCTTTTTTCAGAGGGTTTCCTTTTGTAGTACTGAGCTTAATAATGTTTGAGGTAAAGGTTTAGGGAGGACTGGTAATTTATCTCCAGTATGCAATTTGTGCTTATAATTTTTCTTTGCTTGTGGCACTCTTGTCAACTTGAAACACGGTTTTGAAAACAGTTTTGTGCTTGCAGTGGAATTTAATTTGGCTTTATGAATGTGTTTCATCACTGGACACGATTCTTTGTAGTTGCCAGTTTGACCTAAGGAAAAAAAAGAGAAAACATTTGGCTCATAAATCAGGTCTTCATCTGTCCTTCCATGCTTGAGCCCTTGCTTGCCACAACAGTTGTTTGACTAAATTTACAGAGCCAGAACCTTGAGACAAACAAATTGATTTTGTTTTGTCTTGAGAAAGAAAACATTTGAGTTCTGAAAACAGATATATTTAATGCAAAAATAAAATGTGACCTTAAATATTTTGAGAAGGCTTAAGAAAGTCACTTCTTTGAGAATGAATGGCAGCATTATCTTTTTCTACTTTTTTATGAGCATCTCTGGTGTGGTCACAACCAGCATGTCTGTGTGCCTGAAAAACCCTGAAAGACATCTTACAAAGCACCATAAATGAATGTTCCCTTGAGAATATTCCACAGGTTGTCTGTAGTGTGTGCTGTGTCATACATCACCACTGCTGCCACTGCTTTTTGCCAACATTTATTGAACTTTAAGAAGAATCCAAGTTTAATGGGTATAAAATCAGGGCTGCCAAAACCAGTGCAATTAGTCCAGACCTGCTGAGATGAAATAGTGCTACTTACAGAGCTGGAAGATGTCTTGGTGAGACAAACCCTTAATCTGGACCATGGATCACAGAATCTGCTTTTTAAATGCAGTGGTCTGATTACAACTCTTAGTTGAACTTGTGTTTGTTTTACAGTTGTAATATTTCATTTATAACCTAATCATTTTTAATCTACATATTACAACCTACTAAAATATCTAGGATTAAATCTAATTCACTGCCTGTTAATTTTAGCACAGCAAAAGCCTTTAGCATTCAGGTCTTCTTTATTTTGTTATTCACAAATAGTTTACCCTCCAGTTCCTTTTGCCATGATCATTATCTATTAATAAGTGCTTTTTCTTTGAGAAATTACATTCAGAGTGATCATGAAATTCAAATGGTTACTGATTGTCTTTGATTGAAGAATAGCTAACTACTAAAGGAAAGCAAGAATAAATCATAGCTTTGCCTCCAAACTGTTTCACTGATAAACAAATCAATCCCTATATTAAGAATAAAACAATCAAAACTAAAATAATACTGACTCCTCCACACTGGTAGAATGGTAAGATTTGAAGTGTATTTTACAGCTCTATTGTAGAGAGGTTGATGCACCTGCCAAAGTGTAATGCAGGTGTTCCAAGGTAAAACCAGGGAAGAGGAAAACCATGAAGAGAGAAGAGAAGAGAAGAGAAGAGAAGAGAAGAGAAGAGAAGAGAAGAGAAGAGAAGAGAAGAGAAGAGAAGAGAAGAGAAGAGAAGAGAAGAGAAGAGAAGAGAAGAGAAGAGAAGAGAAGAGAAGAGAAGAGAAGACTCACTTGATTTTTCAGCACAAATAGAGAAGATAATAGCAGGGCCTCATGATCCTTCTGGTTTTTTTTGGGTTTTAAGTAGGAGGTTTCAGAAAAAGTACCACAGGAACAGCTGGCTGTTGGTGAGGGTACCAGCAATAGTGTGGCCAGTACAACCAAGGCAGTGACTGTCCCTCCATACTCAGCACTGCTGAGGCCTCACCTCAAATCCTGGCGTCAGTTTTGGACTCCTCACAACAGAGACACTGAGGGTCTGGATCATGTCCAGAGAAGGGCAATGGAGCTGGGATATTTATCCTGGAGAAAAGGACACTCAGGGGGGACCTTATCACTCTCTGTAACTTCCTGACAGGAGGGTGTAGCCAGGTGGGTGTCAGTCTCTTCTCCCAAATAACAAGTGATACGACAAGAGGAAATGGCCTCAAATTGCACCACAGAAGATTTATTTTGGATATTGGGAAAAATTTCTTCCCCAAAATGGTTGTCAAGCACTGGAACAGGCTGCCTGGGGAAGTGGTGGCAGTCACCATCCCTGAAGTATTTAAAAGATATGTAAATGTGGCACTTGGGGACGTGGTTTAGTGGTGGGTTAATGGCTGGACTTAAAGATCTTTAAGGCTTTTTCCAACCTAAACTTTCCTGTGGCTCTATAATTTCTCTGCCCTGGGTGTCTGGATCATTGAGGTCATCTTAGATGGCTGTCACAAGACCAAAGAAACAGAATAGGGCAGGTATCCTTCATCACCATGTCAGCTGCATTCTGGTTTTTGATTTATATGAAGTAGAATTTTTCCCAAGTTGTGAACTTGGCCCGCATTTATTTACTCTTGAAAATCTGTCACCAGAAGTTTAGAAGTAACATATTAAAAACCAACCAACACTGGAATATTGTCAAATGTCAGTGACTGACTGTTTTGCTGGATCCAGCATTTTCAAAGTTCTTGAGGTAAAAATCCATATTTTCATCTAGGACAAGCTGAGGAACTACATGCTTCTTATAATTTTGTTGTTGTTGTTGTCTGCATATTTTAAGATTCTTCATCCTGGCCTCCCAAAGCATGGTAATCTTCAGTTTTATCACACAGTACACATCCATATCTCATGACAGTACATGCTTTGGAAATACTCTACTTGCTGCAACACAATCCATACTGATTTTTAGAAATCCATGGGAAAAGAATTACACAAATTGTTCTTAGACTTCAGCCCTTTTTTCTGTCTGGACTCAAGATGTTTGCAGGTGATATGATGGGAGATGGCATTTGCTCTTGCTCTGTAAACTTCTCTGAAAAGGCATCATCATTGCTGAATATATTTCATGTAGGGCAAAAAAAGGGCAAGTTCTTAGGAGCAAGGCTGTAATATTGGCTTATTTCCTCACATCATGATCACTGATTGTTTTACCATCTTGCCAACTTCTAAACAGTATTTTCAAAACTTTAGTTTATTCCCAATGTATTTTCTAGATATATAATTATTCTGTGAAGAAATCTTACCATAAGCATTGTATGGTACTCACAGAAGAAAATTCTGCAAATGCTGTTCGTGTAATTTCTGATATGTACAGACAGGGGCAGCAAAAAGACTCTTGGTAAGGGGACTTCCTCAAAGGCCTTTGTCTATTTTGGCCCTCAGTGTACTTGAGAGAAGACTCTTGTGAAATACAGCATGATTTTCTTTTCTCTTCTTCCCCTCCATTTCACCTTGGCAGTGATTTAAATCCCTGTGATTCACTGTTGAGGGTTTTTGTACTGAAATAAACTGTCTGTCTAACATCATCCTCTTCTAAACATGCATTATGGGACTGTGAAAAGGAGGGACAAATGGATGCTCAGCAAGTGCTGGCTCCAGGGGCAACCTCAGACTCATCATGTGCTGATGCTCATGTGGGCCATATCTTTGCTGGAAGCCCTCTTGGGAAGCCACATGGATTGGGCCAGTATCCCTGCATTTGTGCTTCTTGGAAGTGCCTGGCTGCCCCACAGCACACTTGTTCACAGCATTTGGCAGTGAAACAAGTCCATTAAATGGTTAGATAAATGTTCAAAAAGCAGCACTTTGGAGCACTGCTCTGCGATGATCCTGTGCTTTGTCGTTATTACCCAACATTGAAAGGTATCTCCTGTCTTTTTGTTAGCTGTATGCCTAGAAATGATGTCAGTAGTTGTTAACTTTTACAGACATTAGACAAGGAGTGTGATTGTTTGATTTGCCTTTTAAGGTGCTTATTCACTGATAGGGTTTGATTTCAATGAATTAGGCTGCTGTGGTCCTGAATAGCTAGAAAAAGATTCATGGTTTGATGAAGTGATTGTAAAGTCTCGCCAGATGCATGATTGAAGTAAAATAATGTCTTTGAATGCTCGTTTAATTAAAACATTTGTATTCTTTTGGTAGCCAGAAGTGCAACTTGCAGAAGGCTTTGATGTCTTCATGCCAAAATCCCAGCTGGACTCTATACTATCAAACTACACTCGCTCAGGAAGTCTGCTCTTTAGGAAGCTGGTCTGTGCATTTTTTGATGACAAGACTTTGGCTAACTCTTTACCAAATGGCAAAAGGAAAAGAGGGCTCAATGACAACCGGAAAGGACTAGACCAAAATATTGTGGGTGCAATAAAAGGTATGTTTTCTGCTTTCCTTCCTATGTGTAATTAGAACATATTCTCAGCTAAGGAGAGTGTAAGGGGATTAGAATTTCTGACGTGTGTTAGGTCTATTAAAATATGCAGTCTTATTTTTATTCCCTTTCATTCACTTGTTAAAAATAGCTTCTACGGGGACAGCTTGTGTTAATTTTAAGCCAGTGATCCTGGTTTCTGAAGTCAGGCTCTAAGGTTGGAAACTCAATGTTCATGTAAGATAATTATTTTTCCCCCCAGATATCAGAGATGCAAAGAAATCTTGAAAACATAATGACAGTGTAAGTGATACACTCAATCAAGGTTCTGAGTCTTGCACTGTATTTGACTATGTCTGCTCTGTAAATTTTTCAGTAGTTGGTGGCTGGATTGGGGAGAGATGGAGGAAGATAATACTGGCATGAGATTAGTATATTGCTCATAAGTACAGTGGTCCTTCTCTTGGGGGAGCAAATTTCTTGGTGTGAGCACCTTTTGCTGGTTGATTTTTCCTAGCAGTCACTGCTGTCTAGCTTCCAGAAGAGCACATGTTCCTTCAAACTCTGTGATGACAGCATATAAAGAGCTGATATTATTAGGCCAGAGTTTCTGAACTAGATTCTATTTTGAAATCTGATATTGTAGGGACAATACCCACATTACCAAAAGACAGGCCAAAAATAAGCTCTAAGAGTGGAGCTTATTTTAGAGTCTGTGACTTGTTCTCAGGTACAGATTGCTAACTTAGGAGACACAGGGCAATAAGAAGAGCTTCTCTGAGTCCATTGGCAGCAAAAGGAGGCAGGAAAATCTGCATGCAGCTCTGTGCCAACTTTTGGACCCCTCTCCCCATGAAAGAAAGGCATTGACAAACTGGCTTGAGTCCAGTGGAGGGACCACCAAGACTTAGGACTTCACCACTTCCCTGCTCCAGTATCAAATGAGGACAGGCTGAGAGAACTGGAGAGAGGATGATCCAGGAGAAAGCTTACTGCTGTTCACTGCTACCTAATGGGATGGTGTGGAGAAGTGGAGTCAGACTCTTCTCAGAGGCACCAGAGGCACTGAACACATGGAAAATTGCAATTTGATCAGGAGAAGCATTTTCAACATAAGGGCTGAGCAGTGCAGTAGGGGCTCAGAGGGGCTGCAGGACCTCCACCCCTGGAAATACTCAAAATGTGACTGGTCACAGGCCAGAGCATTATGGTGTAGTTGGCCATGCTTTGAGCAGCAGGCTGGGCATGGAGGCCTTCAGAGAACCCTCTCAAGTGTGCAGTTCTGCAGCAAAGTGTATGCTGTGCCTATGGCATAGTCCTAATATATTTTACAGTGCAGCTGACAGACTTTCTTACAGTTATGCTTGTATTTAGGTTTAAATCACAAACACTGTTTTGTACCTTCTTTTCTTGAGCTCAGTAATCTGCAAAAATCTGTCTGAATTTTCTCTATCTGTATCTCATTGTTTTTTAAAAGCTTTAATGAATAAGTTAAATGAAAGAAAGAGGAGCTCAAAATTGCTTCAAAAAAACCCACTCTAATTTGAAAAGCACTTGATAAATGTTTTACAGTAAATGCAACAGGACTACTAAAATAGCAGCTGGTACACACTTCAGAGAGCAATGTTTCTTAGTAGCTAGGATTGTACTAATGGAGCAACTTCTGAGGCTTGGCTTAACCTCTTCCTTTGAGTTTAAGAGAAGAAAGGAGGGACTTGTAGTTCCAACAGAAAAATTTCATCTGTGATGGTACTACAAGGTACCACTGCCATAACAGTGATCTCTATTGGCATTTACAATGTTGCCCAAATGCTGGTGCCTGATCCCTGATAGGGAAGCCTGTCCCTAAAAGCTGTGATGGAATAAGATGCCAAGGCCTGATGTCCTGTGAGTCTTCACTCAGTCTGGCTCCAATAGCACCCTTCTTCCCTCCAAGGAGCTGGGCTATCAGACACTGTGGTTTCATTTATTCCAAGAAATAACTGGGCCAGTATGAAATCTCTACAAGAACAACATCATGTTGTTTGCATTATTATCATTAGGACATTCTTCTACCACGTGCCCAGATATCCTTTAGTGGCACTTTCAGTCCTTTTCCATGACAGAGATACAAAAGGCTACATTAATGACAAAAATGGGCAGAGAATTTAAAGGAGGGACTGTTTGCTTGAAAATCACTCTTCCTGTCTGAAAACATTTTCACTGCTGTCCTTAAAAGTAATTTAATGCTTCTGCAACAGAATGATTAGCCAGGGAGCAATTCTCTCTTTTGACTTTGGGTATTCAGTGGCACTTGTTGTATCAGTTGCAGTGTTTCTCCTGGGCAATCAGCTTCTCTTGTGAGTCTTGCACTCAGAACTGGGGGAAAAACAAAGATGAAAAAATAAAACTAGTCAGAAGCATTTGTCCTTTGAGTTGTTGACTAGAAATGCCAGTGAAATCCTTCCCTGCAGAAATCAATGAGCTGTGTTCAGATATAAGTGTGATGTGTCCCTCAGGGATCCATAGTGGGACCAGTACAATTTAATATTTTCATCAATGACACAGGCACTGGTTTCTAGGGCACCCTCAGCAAGTTTGCAGATGACACCAGGCTGAGTGGTGTGGTTGGTTGACAGGAGGAAAGGAATGCCATCCAGGACCAGGCAGGCTGGAGGAATGGCATGTGAAGCTCCTGATGTTTAACAAGACCAAGTGCAAGGTCCTCCATCTGTGTCAGGGCAATCCCCAGTATCAGTATAGACTGGTGGATGAAGGGATTGAGAGCAGCCCTGCAGAGAAGGACTTGGGGGTACTGATAGACAAAAAATCCACAAGAACTGTGGGCATGATCCTGTGCCTCTGCTCCACTGTGGTGAGAGCCCACCTGCAGTGCTGCACCAGCTCTGGGCTCCCAGCACAGGAAAGACATGGACCTGTTGGGGCAATTCCAGAGGAGACCCTCAGGATGGTCAGAGGGCTGGAGCACCTCTATGGAGCATCTCTATGGATCTCACTCAGCTATGGAGACAGGATGAGAGATTTGTGGTTCAGCCTGAAGAAGAGAAAGCTCTAGCAGACTTTATTGTGGACTTTTAATATAATATAAATTTATAATAATAATATAAAAGGGGCTTGTAAGAAAGACGAGGATGGATATTTTAGTGACAGGACAAAAGGGCAGTGGCTTTAAACTGAAAGAGGGTACATTTATTTGAACATTGGAAGCCTTTTTTTTTTTTGATGATGATGAGACTATAGGAACAGTTTTCCCAGAGAAGCTGTGGGTGCTCCATCCCTGAAAGTGTTTAAGATCAGCTTGGACAGGGCATTGAGCAATCTGAGGAAGTGCAAGATGTCCCTGCTTATGGCAGGTTGGATGGTCTAGATGGTCTTTAAAGTCCCCTTTAAATTCAAACCAGTCTGTCTCTATGGCAAAGGGTCTGTTAATACCATACAGCTTGGGTGGACTAGAAAGGCAGGTCCCAATTCTCCTGGGACCTCCTTGCTGCTGCATTCCCATTCCTTTTTGTCCATGTTGTTATTTCTCTAAGCACACATTGAGCAGTTGCCTGGTTTAAGTAAGTAGGAGTCACGAGTCATTGATCAGGTGCCCGTTGTGTCAGATACGATATGGATTCAGAAGGGAAAGATTATTTCTACCTTCACAAAGGTGATGTTTGTTGCAAATCAAACACTGTGAATGTCTGGGGATGTATTGACTTCTGTGGGCAGCCCTCAGAGTTGGTCTGATGTCCTTGTAGATCAGAGTGCAGAGCAAAGTGTTGCTGATGCCTGCCTTGCCATGGTTTTGTGAAGCTGTTAGCATGGAAGGAGTCTGGAGGGGGGATTACTTTTGGTTCTCTTATACTTAGCAGGTAGTGCTGCTTCAAAGTGTGTGTATAGAAATACTGAAATTGTCATTTTTTTGTTGCCCGTTTCCCAATCCCATTTGTGTGATACTTATTCTCAAGGATTACAAATCCCTTGAGCTGGTACCAGCTTTTTCTCTTTGCTTGCCAGTCATAATTGGACACTGGGCTCTGAGACCTCTGACCAAGTTTACAATAGCAATACTAACAGCAAGAATATTTTTTCTATTTCTGCTGTTTGTTTTTTTTTTGCATACCTCTCAGCTGCATGATGAAAATCAATTGCATCAGTTTCACTCCATTTATAATTCTGTATTTTTGGTAAAACACTGTTAGGTTTGTTGTAAATATGGATTTAAAGATAATGTTGACTCTCTCTGTACCTTTTTTACAAAACACAAAGTTGGACCTGCAGGATATTTTATTTCTCAGTAATAGTGCTTCTTCTTTTTTTTTTTTTTTTTTTTTAGTGGCTTTATATAAATTCTATTCCATCTGGTTTGGCAGTATAAAACTGTGGAGATTTCCACAGTGGTAGGACTTTATTCTGTCACAACTTTGCCTGCAGCCTCAGGAGCCTGACCAAGAAGCCCCCAAATGACCAGATCTTCAGCTCCCTACCTGTACCATATGGCAGGCAGCATTAACAAGTGCCTGCCACATCTGAAACTCAGTTCTAAGTGCACTGTTATTTTTCTGTGATCATTTTGTGTGAATTTCATGAAGACATCAGGTGTAGAACATTTCTCTGGGACAGGCTTTTATACGTAGTAATGATGCCATTCCTGTGACATTTATGCAGCCAAGTCACTTCTGAATGCTGAACTTGTGAAACACTGAGTTGGGATTTATTCTCACAATCCTACATTTGTGAGAATAAATCCTCCATTAAAATTCTGTTTGATAATTGAATCATTTAATATATTTTGATTAACATCCTCTCCCATCTCCTTTTCTCCATTTTTGGTGGCATGTTTCAAAAATGTGGTATCTTTTTATTTCAGTCTTTACAGAAAAATACTGCACTGCTAACCACGTGGATAAACTTCCTGGTCCTAGGGACTGGGTCCAGATTCTTCAGGATCAAATTAAACTTGCAAGAAGACGATTAAAAAGAGGCTCAGGTATGTATAAAAATATGAGTTACAACATGTGAGTGGAAGATTAAAAGCTTAGAGCCTTTGTATCCACAGAAGTATTTTTCCTGTTGACTGTAGAGTTGTACTTGTTCATTCTATGAAAATTAGAACTCTTAACACTTCAGCAGGTTTTGTGGTTTGGAATGGCTGCAGGTTTAGGAGTGTCTCTACAGACAAGTTTGAGTGTTTCTCAAATGTTGTCTCCTTTCTTTTAGCATCCAAACTCTTCTTCCCAGAAATCAGCTGATCCATCCAGGGTTGCAAGTAGAAGTTTTTTAATTCTATGTTATTTAGTCTGACAAGCCACTGACTGTACTGTTAAGACATAACCCAACTGACCTTTCCCTCTAAACTGTATGTGTCTGGAAGAATAGATGAGTCTTCTCACATTCCTTGTGAAAGAATCAGAAAAAAAAACCCAAAACAAAAAAAAGAAAAGCCAGCCACCCACCCTTGTTGTGCCAGCAAGGCTCTGCAATACGTGGGAGGCAGCTTGCCAGCAGTGACAGGTAATCTAGGCAGGGTTTTGCAGCAAAGCTGCTCAGCTTGGGCTGGGATAACCTGGATGCTTGGGACCAGCCTGCAGTGAGCTCAGTGCTGAGCTTTCACCCTGCCAGCACCTGGCTCCTGAGCCCTCAGCTCCAGCCATGAGTGTGCAGCCTGGAAATCCCCAGTGGGGTTCTTGGGAAAGCAGTGTTACTGATGAAGAGCCATGTAATTACCTTATAAACCATAACTAGTCTCCTTCCCATCTTCATCCCTCCAGTCCTACCAGGGGCTGTCTCCACACGAGGCTTCACTTCCCCTTTCTCAGCCTGTAGGTTTCTTAAGGCTCTCTCAGGGTTGTATTTCTTGTCTTTCTCTCCCTGGGTATATCTGACACTGCTGTTTGAGGCACTTCACTTGTGCCACCTCCTTAAACACAGTCCTTTGCTGTTACTGTATTTAGCTGCCTGCCTTTTCCCCTCTTCCCTTCTGCCCATCACCACAATTAAGTGCCTGTTAGTATCCATGGATGGGAAACCTGATGGCTCCACGGGGGATGCTCACCCTGTGGTCCCTGGTGGTGAGTGAGACCACAGGAAATGTCCTCCCCATCTCCCTGTCTCACAGGGCCAACCTTTTCTGTCCAAAGCTGCATCTCTGAAACACACACTTAGGCTGGCATCTGAAATCATTCTCCACAATGTTATTAATGCCAGGAGGGAAAAGCATAAGAGAGAGGAAAATGAGAAACACTCAGAGACAGAAATAACGCAGGGGGAGGACAAAAGTGCAGATTATTCAGTAGCATAAGCTTCCCAGGGTAGAGAAACAAACCAGCATTGGCCTTAAAAAGGGTTTCTTGTGTGTTGAGGGAGGGAGGACAGAGGGATAGGAGATAATCTTGTTAAAGGCAGTGTCAGATTACTGGTGTTGTACAACAGGATTGTTTTCTGCCCCTTCCAAAGCTGCCTTTCGGCCTCCCCAGGACAGGAGGGTGGAAGTGGGATGTCAGGCTACAGCAAGGTGAAGGGTGCAGTGCAGGATGTGGGGATCAGAGGGTCCTTGCAGAAGATCCCTCAGGAAAGAGGATTGACCTAATTTTGTTTTGATTTTTATTTTCTTTCATCCTTTTTTATTTGCTTTTCTTCTTGCCTCTGCAGGATATTAATTAAAATGACAATGACATTCAGCTTTTGCTTTTCAAATGGGGCCACCTCTATCTCTGGTCCTTGCTCAGGATGGGAGAATCTAAGCAGAGGATATTGTATGTAAGCTAGCAAGACTATGAAGAGAAAGAAGTGAAGCTGAGTAGTGTGCCAGAATCAGATAGGCTCCCCTGTCTGTGCTGCAGAGGGAAGGTAACTTGTTCACCTGTATGTGGATGCATAGTGAGCAGCAGTGTACCTAGCAGCCCCTCAAGCTTATTTGTTGAAAAAAACCCTGCACAATAGCTAGATTGGTAGAAAAGCTCTTTTTTTGTGCTGTTTACTGGCCAATCCCTGAAGTGCCCCAGTTTCTCTCTGATGTGGCCACAGGCAGACATGCTGTTTTCAGTGTGTCAGGAGTGACTGAACACACCACTGTAGCCACTTGCACCTTTCCAGCCACTGCCATCTCCTCTGGTGGCTGTAGCTAACCCAACCTGACCTTGCACTAAAGCAAAGAGGTTTCCCAGGCCTTTGTGACAGCAAAACAGTAGATGGGAGCAAAGAGGCAGGAGCAGACAGCTGGTTGCAGTAACATCCTCGTGTTGTTGAAATAAGATTTGTTGGTACTTTTATGCTACAATTGTGAGCTTCTGATAGGAGGAATCTAGAGCTGACCAGGCAATAGATCCATCTACTCCCATATTTTGTGTCCAGCAGTGGCTGTTAGCTGATGCCTGGGGAGGTCTGTAGGACTGAGGGAAGGATGTTGTGGTGTTTGGTAGGATAATCTCTCAGCCCTCAGCAGCTTTATCCTGATATAGAACTGGTGATGTTGGAATTATGCACAATTTCTCTATTTATTGTGAAACCATACCAAAATTGTGTGTAATTTACAGAGACCAAAACAAGAGTGGAGAGCAAACATGGAGGGAGAAGCTCTTCCAGGACTTCATGTTGTAAACCTTGGCTTTTAAGTATTTTAAAACTATGGGACTTGCAGCCACTGAGATGTGGGATTCATCACTCTTCTGGCTGAGCTCTTGAGCTCTCCCAGTCTGCCCGTGGCCAGAGGAGCAGAAGCTAAGCAAGTGTCCTATGTCCATTCTCTTTGAGTTTTGTCTCCACTGGCTCACTGGAACATGCCAGCTGATCTTGTGGGGATAGGCTAAGGTGCCCAAAGAACAAATCTGAGCCACCAATTATCTAACTTCAGCCAGGACTTTCTGACCCAATGTGTCTCCCTGCTGCTTGATCTCATTATTTATCTACATCAGTTCCTGGTTTGTCATAATGCACAGGCTTTATAAGGAAAAGGCTTAAGATGATCCATTTATTTCAGAGGTCACAAGACAACTTTTTAGTCAGCACTGTGTTGAGCTAAATTTTAATAACAGAAGTATTTAAGAGGAGGGACAGGCTTTTCATCCTGCTTGCCTTCCCCCAAGCCATTCAGTGCATCCTCTGATGAGTTTTTTATTTCAAACCAGACAGTAAGACACTGCATTCATGAGCAGCCCTCTCCACTTTATGCTGTGAAACATTATTTCAGTCTGAAAATGTAAATCCTGCTCTATCTTTCAATTACAGTAATAATTTCAGAGAATTCTATCAAACGACTGGGGTGGATCTGCTTTTTGTAGCCCCTTCTATAGGGTGTACTCCCATGAGTGTTTCCAAATTAAATGAAATTATGATCACTAGATCATAGATGCTGCCCAGCTTCAACCTTATTTACCATATTTGGCTCATCTCCTAGAATTAGGGACTGAAAAAGCTCCTTATTTCAAAAGCTAATAAAAAAAAAAATTTAAAAATTCTGCTTTCTAGAAAATAGTTCCCCTGTGTAGATTTTGAAAGGTTGTTATCCTAAGCCAAATAAAACTTCATTTATGTTCTGAATCAATGACAATATTTTTCATAGCTGGGAATATTCTATTTTTTTAATTTATTTATTTTGCTTCAGCTTGTTCTTAGTTCTTTTAGATTATTGCCTGAGATCTGAGACTTGGGTAGAGTTTTTTTATTTGTTAGATCTGAGAATAAAGCTGCCGCTGCCATTAAATTTTTATTGGCCCTGTTCAGTCTTTTCAAAATTTCACAAGTTAGCTGTCACAAAGGGGAAAAGAGACTGTGAGGTTAATGTTACAAACAGATGTTATAATTAAAATTAAAGAGTATGATAATATTCTTCAGCCTTGACTATTGGTCCCATGTCATGCCAACAGCTTCATGATGCCAGGTCTGTGTTCTCCCAGAAGAGGAGCTGAACCGTTTTGGTGGATGGGATGGGATGCAAAGTTGCCCTGGAAGGAAAGAAGTCAAAGGAAGTGTGTGTGCATGGGTTTCCCCTCTTAAAGCAGCATGAATTACAATGTAAATTGCCTCATAATTTACGGTGCTGGGCTTGCCCCAGCGTGGTCCCTTCACCCTGCAAAAGAGAACACGAGCAGGTGTCTGGTGGCCTTGCCAGTGGCAGCACACAGGGACACAGTCAGCCATTATCACAGAGATCTTAAATGGGTAAAATCAGAGGGAGCTGGCTGGCTGTTCCTGTCACCTCTGTGCAGGCACTGCATTTGAGCCTTTTGATTACTAAACTCTCCATCCATTAATAAGCAGCAGGTCAGGGTTCACACATCTCCCACAGTAAGTTCTTCCTCCCTTTTTATGTTTTGAAGAGCCCGTGAGCCATTATTCCATAGCAGCTATCCATGGGAAAGCTGATGCTGTGGGGGTAATATGTAATAACAATAATATGTAAATTACCACACTGTGGGATTCCTGGGGCTGTCCTGTGCAGGGCCAGGGGCTGGATGATCCTTGTGGGTCCCTTTCAGCTCAGGATATGCTGTGATTCTGTTCTAACACTGCCACAGTGCATGAGCTGTTCATGCCAACTGATTATTTGGGCATAACCTGGAACCTTTGGATTGCCTGGCTCCTTAAAGGAAAATACAGCAGTTTTGGAAAACATGCTGAAAATTATTTAAATAAATCGCATGCCATGATGCTTCATCCTTGAATTGTTGTTTAAAATTAACATTACTTAGTTGCACTGTAAAATAGTGGGGAAAGAGGAAAAAATTATTTTTTATTTATTATTTTTTTTCCCTGGGAATATGCTTTCTCCCATGTCCTTGTTCAAACTGCTGCTTCCATTGTTTTACATGAGGTTTTATCTTCTTTCTGTTTTTCTTCAGCCTTCTGATTCCCTGGTTTCTGCTTTTGACACAATATCTACATGCTGCAAGAGATTAGGTTGATTTTTGCTTAGCAATACACACAGGGGCAGGAAGGATGTAGGATGGAGTCCAGCATGTGGTACAATGTGTTTGTGGCCAGTATTTTAGATAAAAACCAGCAATATTAAAATAGTAACTGCTGTATTCAACTTTCCAGCCCTGAGCACGTGTGTACTTCTTTCCAGGAAAGCAGCAACTTAGCAGGCAGACATGTACCTCAGAAGCTACACAATTTGGGGGGACTCTAAGGAAATGACTACCAGCATTATTTTGCAAGGTCTGCAACACTCTATCTAAGCAAAGGACAGAGAAGAGGCTCTGAGTTCCCACAGTAGGCTCTCTTCCTGCTTGCCTTGTCTTGAAAGCTGGCCCAGGACAGTGAGGTTTGGCTTGCAGTCTGTGGGTGTGGTTGTGGAAGGCAAACCTTCCTTTCTTCTTGGAATGACATGTAAGAGACTGGTGGTTTATACCCATGTTAGGAGGTCGAGATGTTTGCCATTCCCCTGTGTTATTTCCAGCTTCACCTGGAGCTGCAGTTACACATCCAGTTTCATAAAACAAATCCTGGCAGCTGCTGAGAAGAGTGAGTAGCTCTCTGGGCATCTGCTGTGCTCCCACTCCCTTGCTGGCGCTGGCACAGGCATTCCTGTGGCCATCTTGTCAGTTTTTAACTGGATCTGATCTTGGTGACTGTATAAACATTTGTGCTGGCATGAGGAATGAGACTGGAACAATTGATGGAGAGCTGAACCTCATTTATCAGTCTTCTGCCAGATTAAAATGGCCAGGTAACTTCTGGTTCTGTAGAGTTGGAGACTCAAGTCCTTACCTTCTGGAAGTTCCTTTTTTTCCATTTGTTTCTTTCTGTATTATTGCTTTCCTTTGGTGTAGGAAGAGCAGTTAGGCAGAAAGGTGACCACATCTTTGGAGCTATTTCACAAATTGCTGCAGAAGTTTCTAGAAAAGCTGTCACTACAGTGGGCAGCCCATTGGCACCACCCCTGATATTCATAGAGGGAAGGCTCTCCAGTCCATTGCCAGCATTCAGATCCAGCTTCCCCCATTTCCATAGCTTGGCTCCCTTCTACTCAAGGGGCCAGATGCAGCTTTGTCCTTGTATGCTGAGTTGTGCCACAGAATCACCTGGTGCAGGTAGTTCTTCACAGCATTGCTAGAAGTTGGCCTCAGACTGACAGGATTTTTAAAGCCATGTATATCCCATGTGAGTATAATGTATATCCCATTGGCTGAGTTTTGCCTTCTCATTGCACCGTGCTGTCTCCTCCCTTGCACATCCAGTCCTTCCATCACTGAGTCTGGTCCAGATTCAGACCAGCCTAGGTGATCCCTTCCCACTTAGTGAGCCACCTGTCCCTTCCAAAATTCAAGGTTTTCACAGTGAGCTGTACCAGGCACTGAATTTGTGGCACCTTCTCCCAGAAAGCAGAGAAAGGTCTCAATTCCACTGAGTCACTTGCAAGTCTGTGCCACATGAACTTAACCAGGGCTCTGCATTTAAACCTTTTGTGGGAGGAAAGCTGCCTGATAGTAGTTTGTTTATGTTTTCTTTGGTTCAGTTAATTTTGCAGAACTGAGAGCATATAGCTAAAAACTAACCTGACATGCAGGCATGTGGGAGAGACAGCAGTCTCTTGGCCCAGGGATGGAGAGACAAGGGTTGATGGATAACATTAGAAAATTAATGTAGATTAGGAGGTGGATTAGACATTATCATAATGAAGGCAACAACTGAACATGCTCATATGCAGAACCATGATAAAGATGATCAGGACAGTTAACTTAGGCTCAAGTGGGAGGTGAACCGAGTTGTTTAGTTTATCTGCAGCTTTGGTTTTGATCCCTGTGGATATTGTGCAGTGAATGGATGTGAGCAGATATACATCCACCACACTGACCTTGTACAAGGTAGTTCATAGACTAAGGGGTGATCATTTTAAACTACAACATGGTTGATTTAGATTAGATACAAGGAAGAATTTTTTACTATTTTTTACACTGGCACAGGCTGCTCAGAGAGATCCTGTATGCCCCATCCCTGGAATTATTCAAGGGCAGGGCTTTGTGCAACCTGATCTAGTTGAAGCTCTCTCCCTGCTAATTTCAGGAGGGTTGGACTGGGTGACCTTTAAGATCCTTCCAACCCAAACTATTCTGTGATTCAGTGATAATGGGCTTGTCCTGTATGACCACACCTCATTTGCTGAAGTGCCCTCAAAGATCTCATTGTGCTTCAAAGGCCTTAAATATCGTGCTGCAGTGCCAAAAGACAAAGGTAATAGGATTTTGAATAGGGCTTGTTTAGGTTAGGCACGGATTTCCTGTTACACACCTTTGATTTACTCAGGGTTCACATGCACGTCCCAAGTACTACAGCCTAACAAGTCCCTGCACATCTGCTGAGTGAGGCAAGCTATGTCTGTGCAATCCCTTGGCCTCTGGCAAACACAAAATTAACAAATTAGGCTTTTAGCCTCCCTTCACCGTGGGCCAAATTAAGTCAAATGCTTTTGTATAAGCTGTGGGTTGAAAGCATGTGTGTATATACACATTAATTGCCAGTGTGGTCACGTGCTTTTTTAATTACACTGGGCACCCACCTGCGTTTTTGAAGACACTTTGCCCTAGTAAATCTGTCCCCTGCAAAGTGAGCTTGCCTGTGGTCATGGGAATTTTGGGTGCAGAAATGGGAGTGTTCCTTTCCCTGCAGGCATCCGATGACTGTCGGTGGGTGGAGTTCCAGCCTGCAAGGCTCTTCCTCTAAGGACCGCTGGGGACTTTTCTTGTGACTTTACCAAGTGATAACAACTCCTCTTATCATACAGATATCCTGAAACCTGAAAAAGAACAACTGTTACTCCATCCCATTGCTGGTACAATTGCTTCTTAATACCCAACTCCCTCTTCCAAGTTTGCATTTTTATTATATGACCTTTTCCTCCAAGCAGTGAGTTTTTAACAGAGCACTTGCAAATTTGCAGCTGAGGAAAGTAGATAGAAAATGCAAAATCACTTCACAGTCTGCAGCTTTTTAATCACATTCCCGTATTCAGTAAAAGTAATGAGATTTCTTGTTTATATTTGTCATCAGCAGAGGCAACTGACTGTGATGAGAAGCCGGACATTTCTCTACTACAAACAGGTAAAATGCATCAAAATTTTTATCAGTCTTCCATATGTGTTTTTGTTTATTTATGGCACAGAAGCACTTTTCAATAATCCTAACTTGCCATGTACAGCTGGGTAATTGCACACAGGACTCTGCTATCTAAAGTTTTGAATGGTCTGTGTTAAAAAACAAATGCATCAGAATCTTACAATTTTCCCCTCAATTTCATATTTATAAAACCTCAAGGTCCATGGGAGCAGCTGAGCTAATAAGGCCTGTAAGTTACACTTCTTATGCCAGATAGGGACTTGTGCTCATCCCTGATATTTCTGGGAGTATTTTTTATCTCTTAACAGAGTTATTGGTAGGGACAACCACAATCACTTGTAGTGTCACATCTGTTGAGTTGTTGGCGGTATTAGCCATAATATCTTGGACTCACAGAAGGATTACAGACATTTTTACATGCTAGTTAAGTGTTAGTTTACTTATTCTTGAAGTGCAGCCACCCTGCCTTAGAAGCCTGACAATTGCTATGCAGCAGCTTGGCTGTGCAGCTGTGTAGACTGGGAAATAACATTTTTCCACACTGTTGAATTTGGTGCTGAAATCACCAGACTGAGACTGAAATTTGAAGCACCCTCACATTAAGAGTTAGTCCATCAGTAGGTGCCATGATGGTAGGAGCTGAGCTGCCATCCTCTGAAAATCCAGTGGGGCCAGAGTCTGGGGAGGTGGTCATTTCCCTGCATTTCCAAGTCTGTAATGTCACTGAGATGCTGCTTCTTATTCCCAAAGCAGAGAGGGTCCTGGGCAGACAATGTCACTGATTATAGTGCGGTTTTGTGTTATTTCATTTAACAACAAAGGGTGATCAGAGCTCAGCAATGCCACTGCTGGAAGAGCAGGACAGGGCTGGTACTGAGTTGCTGAGCACACCACACACTACCTGCCAGCTGTGGGACAGCAGGATGGGAGACTACTGGTGACCATCACAGCATCTGTCTCCTGTGCCAGGACTCCCTAATCTCTCTTGCACAAGGGCTGCAGAAGGAGCTTTCACACCGCGCCGCTGTGTGCTGGAGCAGCAGCTGCCAGCCGTGGAGCGCTGTTGGAGCACGTGCAGTTACTAAGGAATAGGAGCAGCAGAGCAGTTGGGAGGACAAGCAGCTTTAGTCTGGCTCTGGCAGGGACCCAGGGGGGGCTGGGAGCACGCGCTGCCTGGGAGCTGCCGTCCTGCTTTCCTGGCTGAATAATATGGCAGGCTACGGCTGGGATGAAAGGTGCAGGAAGCTCTGCTTTGAAAGGTCCCTTCCATGCAACATCCTGTTGGTTTCTTTTATCAGGGAGGGAAGCAATTCCGCTGCCAGAGGACCCTAATAAAGGTTGTTAATGTGGTGTAGTGTTATCTCCTCATTGCTCTGGAGCAGAATTAACAGTTTGCTGCGGGTTTCTTGGAGCACTTTCTGCAGTCGCTGCTCAGGTTGTACATCAGGGATGGAGATGAGCGTGCTGAGATGGTTGTGGTAGAGAAGGCGACTCACTTTCCACTCCACTGCAGATCACCCTTGTGGTCTGCTTGCTTGTACACCTCTGAGCATCCATGCATGCAGCTTTGGAGCTGAAATGCTTGTGTGTGATGTGTGCTGCTCCACACTACCTGTGGAAGGATGCCTAAATAAACCACGCTGCAATTTGCATTTGGGGGGAGGTGATGCTCACAGGCTGTGAGCCAAGAATTTGATTCACACCCATTATTATATGTGTGCCAGTGCCTCTTTATAGGACAGATCTGTGTAATATCATACTGTTGTTGGAAGCAGATTATTTAAAGTGATACACAGACAGTATAATGACAGTAATTATGAGACAGAGCCAAAATATAGCTGCTTTGTATCAAGGAATGTAGCAAAAGAGGTGGAATATGATTTTTACTGGGGTCTTTCCCTGTTTTAGTACAGCTGGTTTTACAAAAGGGTGCTTGACAGGTTCTTTAAAGAGAGTCTGCGTGCAATTTATTCAGCTGTCTTCTCTGTTTAGCTTGAAAAATCTTTGGGGAAAAGTCTCTCTGACTGTGTTTGTGCAGTGCCTCATGCAATGGGCCTTGGTTGCAGATGACAGCTAATACCAGATAAATCATGGCCTCAGGTATTAGGAAAAATTTCTTCTCCAAAAATGTTGTGGAGCACAGGAACAGGCTGTCCAGGGAAGTGGTGGAGTCATGGTCCTGGGAAGTATTTAAAAAATGTGTAGATGTGACACTTGGGGATATGGTTGTTGGTGGACTTAGCAGTGCAGGATCTTAAGTATCTTTTCCAACCTAAATGATCCTGTTACTCTGTGATCAGTGGTTAACCTGGTGCTTTGGTGTAATAAAACCAGAGTGAATTGGGTTGGTTGAGGGGATCTTGCAGGAGACTGGATGGGGAGAAAAGATGGGGTATAGGAGCTATCCATGAACAATTCCTCTCTTGATCTTCAATAACTGAACAAACTGCGAAGCAAAAGCACCCAGGGAGAATTATTTAAATCAGTGATAAGCACTGGTGCCAAAAACCAAGGGAAAACTCAGATGCCTTAAATCTGCCTTTCCAGCTCTGTCAGTCCTGCCTGTGACACCAATGCCATTATGAACAAGATCTGAGTATATGTGGACTATCAGTGCTGAAATGTCTCAGTCTGTATGATTTTGGATTGTAGCCTCTGGCTGACACTTCATTTGGGACACCTCAGTCACAGGTGTGGTTGCTCTCAACTCTCTCCATCACTGGTGGCAAGAGAGCTGCTTCCAGAGGGAAGGCCAGGTCAGCTGCAGTTGTGTTTGGAGGTGTCTCTCTTTTGGTGCCAGCAGGATCAGGCTCTGAGTGCAGTTAATTGGTGCCAGTGCCCACAGCCAGGTCTGAACCAGCTCCCTCTGTGCCCACAAACTAGCAGAGTCCTGGGATTTGAGGAGAGCAGGGGATGCTTTGTTTTCAGAAAGCTCTTTTGGAACTCAAAAGCCTGGTAAAAAATAATGAAGCTGGTACATCCTCATAAAGCTAAGACATTTTTCCCAATTATATTTTAGCACTCCTGAACAGAAATGATGCTCCTGTGTTAAAATCACCCTCTATACTAAGAGGGCCTTGTCTTTAAAGGCTGTTGATTGAAGGGTGTTTAAAGTAAATTGGAAGAACTGTGGCAGTTAAACTTGCTGGGAACTTTGGTTCATTGACAGATAAATCTCAAGAAAATACTAGAAGAATTGTCCCTAACAAATGTTATCAAAGCTCAGGTCTCAGAGAGTTCCAGCTTTTGCACCTAACCAAAGCTGCAGGCTGTGTCCAGACCTGAGCTGAGACAGATCAGACAGCTCTGGGGGTAATTATCGTGGGCTCAGTGGAAAGGCTGATTAGTTTCTTGGTGATACACAATACCTGGAGGGTGTGAGATAGATCTTTATCAGGATGAGGATGAGGCACCTTTTAGAGTCTTTCTGTGTAAGATGGTATTGTGAAAAGGCTCATCTTATTTCAGTGTACAGTTTACACAAAGCACTGGGATTTTGTGGTTTCAAAGAAAAACAAAAGGAAGGCATAACCCATAAATTCTGCATGTGAGAACAAATGTAACACAGCTGCAACACCCTTTTCTTGAATCCTCATCTTGTAAATTGGATTGGAAAGATGTAGGCAGGTTTAGGACCATGAGGTAGCACTCCTTACCCCTGCTTTGGACCACAGCCATGCTGAGAGTTTGTGTAGTTTCTCCACACTGGGGTTAATTTTGAGATGAGAAAGAATTTTGATATCCCTAACGGAAGCTGAAACACTAACATCCCAATCCTCAGGTCTAGGGGTGATACAGCTTTGTGAAAAGATGAGAGCAATCTCTTGGTAAAGAAATGGATGATAAGAAAACAGCAACAATCCAATTCTATATAGGTTGTCTCCTTTTCTTTTGAAATACAATATCAGGAAAATGAAACTTGGGAAAAAAAAAAAAAGAAAAATCTTTTCCAAAACCTTAAATATAAATCCTTTATTGTAATATAAATCTTTATCCTTTCAATGCCTGATTGTATGAGTCTTCCCTTTTCATTGGGATGTATTTGCCTCTCAGGCTGATTGATGTCTGTCTTCTCTTTGCCCTGTGTTCTTAGTGCCCTCGTTGTAATTCTTCTGTCCATCTTTTCATTGTTCTGTTTAGAAAAAGCACATTCTTAAAGTGCTTTTTAAAAGATGGGATATAATCATACAGTGCACCTTTTAAAGGTGTGTGTGTATATATATATATTTTTTTTTTTCTCCTATATGCATTTAGACTGCTGTGGAGTGGTGGGGGTTTTTACCAAATAAGATCCCAAAGTATGTACTCAAGGTTTAAAATTCATGGGGTGCTTTTTTCACTTCTTCAGAACCTAAACTTCAAAGGGGTGAGCATAGCAGTGCAGTTTGTGCTGAAGACTAATGGAGTGCTTTACATCTGAAGTGGGCTGCACTGTATGTTGTGTGAAAAACTTGGCTGGCAAATTTTGTATTCAAAAAAATTTATTTAATTTGCTTTTCTTTAGCCAGTCGAGCTCTACTCTAACTGGAATTCAGCAGCACTGCCTGTGTGCACACCAGCAGTTCAGCCTCATCACTAATTAAAATTAAAACTCAAATACATTATTTCCATAATTCTAAAATACTATGGTTTTTTGTTTCAAATTACTGATATCTTCAATTCTTTCATTTTTTAACTGATTCCTTCAAACTCTTTCTCCCTTCAGGTAACCTTTTCGACACCACAACAGACCACCTGATAGATGCAAACCCAGATTTTTCAGTTTGAATTTCACATCCTGCATCAGTGTTCTTAGCAGATAGAAACATCCTCTCCTTTGAGCAATGTTCCTGCAAGCTCAGCACGAGACCTTCAGTGTACTACAAGACATGGGCATCCATACAGTTTTTCTTACAAGTCTGTGTATTTTCCATGTAACCTCAAGTTAATGAACCACCAGATCTCTTCACTGTTCTTCATCTTAATTAAGATGATTTCCCTCTGCATCCCATGCATTACTGAATTAGCGGGGTACCCACTCTGAGGTCATTCTCTTGCCTGTGTTTCTCCTCCATGATTGTATTTTTCCACATGTTTGTATGCCAGCAGTGTCTCATCTTAAACCACAACCAAGTTGTGACTCTTCCTGTCCCCAGGGTGGCCTCTCTCTCCACCATGAACCCTGGGGGCTTAATGAGCATCTGACCTGGTGGAGCTCTTTGCTTCTGCAGACCCACTTTTCCTTTCCTGGCTGCTGTGGTACCAACGACCAGTCACACACAGCTCTGATTAAACAAAGTCCTTACTGGGTTTAGGAGGGAGTAAAGGAGGATTTCTCCCAGCAGTGCCCAGGTTCTCCCAGTTATAGCAAGGAGCAGCTATTCCTCAAACAATTTCCCCTGTGTGGTCCTAGTGGGATGGCTCTGGAGCATCTTCGTTGTGCAGATTGCTGGAGGTGGTCATTTTCCCCTCACTGTTGCCCCCAGCTTGCTCAACACCTCAATTTCAAAATATATTATTTTTCTGTTTTCTAAGAAGAGGGTCTGCTCACTGTGATGTTTCAGCCCCTGTCCTTGGCAACAATACTCACCTATTTAAAAAAAACAAGTCACCTTTCAACTGGCACTGTATCAATATCTCAGCAGTTAAGACAAGGGAATCGATCAAGAAATTGCACTACCCTCTTAGACACTGAAAGGGTCAGGTCAGGGCTAAGGTAAAACTGTGTGTGGCCCCTCCTGCAAACCTTCATTTCTGCACCTTTCATCAGCACTAAATTCACTTTAAAAATGTCACAGAGAAATCTGGAAGGTCTTACCTGCAACACCTATTGATCACCAGGCAGTTTGAGCACGTGTCCTGCAATTCGAGGGAGAGCTTGCTAGAGCCTTTGCCATTGTGTTTCCTTTCCCTGTGTGTATCTTATCTTAGGTACTTTTTTTATTTTTTGGAAACTGTTTGGCCTTTGAGTGTCTCAACAGAAGTGCTATTACAGAGTGGGATGGTTTTCAAAATGTTCAACCTCTTTTTTTAACAATCCTAATGCCTGTTTCTCAGGTGTCACAGAATACCTACGAATAACACTGAAGCCAACGTGAACAGTTTGTTCTGTTGGCACCTGAGAAACCAGGCTCCCAGCTGTTCCCCACCCACCTTCCATGGACTTTTAGGAATGACCATGTTCTCTCTGAAACTGTGGAATAGATTGAATGTGCACTGCAAACCTTAAATTTTGAGTCTTTCCTTCCTTCATGGCTTGGAGTTGCCTGCATTGGGCAGGGGGCACCAGTCTGTTGTGTTGTAACCCTTCAGCAATGAAATCAGCGTTTTGTAAATTTGGAAGATTGCATTTGTGTTTACTTACTGTGACTACTGTTCAGACTTTCTTCAGAAATCTTTTTATAGGGTTTATTAGAGAGAAGAAAAAAAAATCATTCCATATTTAGGTAAAAATGTCTCAATCTTCTGTATATATGTTTTATTAATATGTAAATATTTAGATATTTTTAAATTACTATGTTCTTAATAAAGCAACAAGGGACTAGTTGTGAAATGGTGTATAACATTGTGTTGTGTTACCGATCTCTGGGAAATCCTCTTTGTCAGTTCAGAAAAGAAAACCTACAATAAATAACTTTAATTGCATGTGTGCTCCTGTGTTCTATGCTGGATTCCCATATTTTAGAGGAATTACTTTGCCACCAGTGGACTACACATAGGAAAACCCTGAAAGTTCCCACCAGGATGCTGTTTTTCCAGCTGGCTCAGCCAGAAACCACACTGGCCTTGCCAATCACAACATCTATATCCAATCGTGTAATAACTCTTGAGCATTACAAACTGATATGCTTGAAGTCTAATTTTAATTGAATTAGGTGCCTTTATAATCTGCACTTAAAAGGTTAAGCTCTGCTTCTATGGAAACAACACACAGGAAGGACAAACCAATACTCAGAGGTTGGAGTAGCTGCAAAGATATATGCTTGGTAATTCATTATCACACCCTCATCAAATGTTTAGCCTTAGAAAATACTTCCTGCAAAAACACGTTCCTGGTAATCTTCCACCAATTCCAAGGAGCCAGTGAAGTGAAGTGAAGCAGCAGCTCACCACACCTTTTTGGCTTTATACAAGAAGCACTATGGAGACACTGATGGTAAAAAGTCCCAAGGAGAGCTTCCTTCACATTTCAGTGGCTGCCGGGATCGGATGGAGCCTGGTGCAGAGCCTGCATCCGTGTGGGGTGAGCGGAGCCAGTGCAGGCTCTCCCCTCTGGGGGGTGCTGGAAGAGCATCTCGGTGATCACGGAATGGTTTAGGTTAGAAGGGACCTCGAAAGCTCCAACCCCTGCCATGGGCAGGAGCATCTTGCACAACATGAGGTCAGCCAAAGCCCCGTTCAAACTGGTCTTGAACACCCCAGGGATGGAGCATCCATAGCTTCTCTGGGCAATCTGTTACAGAGCCTCACTGTAAACCAATCTCATTGTAATACTGTTTTTCTTAATAGCTAATCTAAATCTAACCCTCTTTCAGTTTAAAACTGCTGCCCCTTGTCCTGCCCCTACAGGCTCTAGTAAAAAGTCCCTCTCTATCTTTCTTACAAGCCCCCTGTAAGTACTGAAACACCACTCTAAAGTTTCCTTTTCTCAAGGCTGAGCCCCTCAGCTCTGTTCTCCCTTCCCTGGACACACTCTAGCACTTCAATGCCTTTGTTGTAGTGGGGAGCTCAAAAGTGTCCCCAGGATTCAAGGTGTGGCCTTACCAGTGCCAAGTTCAGGGGGGACAATCACTGTCTTGGTCCTGCTGATACAGGCCAGGATATTAAAGCGTGGCTTTGTTTGGTTTGTGTTTTAAAAAACAGGGACCAGGTTAATACACTGTGCCTTGCAACATTTAAGTGGAGCACCTGAAATTAAGTCTAAGGTACAATTCTGAGCAAGGAATGTTCCTGTGTGCTGTGATCTGCACGGCACCAATCTCATCTGTGCTGCAGAGCCACCAGCACATGCTGCTGCCAGCTGCAGGCTCCCCTGTTGGAACAGTTTGGGATGGAGCAAGTGACTCTGGCAGCAGCCACACCTGAGCTCCAGCCACGCTCCTGCTTCCTTGCTGGCCCAGTCAGCCAGTGCATCCCTCTGTCCTGTCTACAGGACACTGGAGATTAATACTTTGGGTGAAAAAAATCCTTCTGAAGATGAAGAGGAAAAAGGATATCCTCCTGGTAACATGAAAGGAAACCGAAGCCTGGGCTTTATAAAAAATGCATTAATTGTGAGACAAGAAGAAAGTCATCTCAAGTGCCTGTGACATGTTGGTTTAGAAATGGCTGGCTGAGTCTTTCGGGGGAAACACACTCTGTCACATCAGGGGGGTTTGGGGATGGGTGGTCCTGATGCAGCCACCCCTCCTCTAGAGAAACCTTCTCCCCAAAAAGCCTCCCCTCTGCTGAGGCCTCGCTGGGAAGTGCATTTCTCCTTCTCTGGGGAAGGGAGGGGGCACAGTCCTAGAAAAAACCCCATGGGGCCACATCTTCCTAGAGAAACAGATGTTGCCAGCATTTTGCAAGACTTCTCAAATATAACCCCCTTGTGCATGTTCTCCCCCAAACCTAAAGCAGCAAAATGTCTTGTAGGAGGTGCTGAGATATCTCTTCTCCCTCCACTGGCTCTCCCACTGCTTGAGCATCCCTGCAGCTGGGCTAGGATAAGCACCTGCACTCCTTCCTGCCACGCTGTGATCACAGAGAGGCACGAGAGGAATTTGTACAAGTAGGTCAGGTATGATTTCTCATCCACCGACTGCTAATAAAAGCCACTGATGTGAAACCTATAACATTATGTGTATAAATAATTTAGCTCCGGAGTGTAAACATCAATTCTGAGTTTTAAAAAACCCAAAATAATTCCATCAGCTTTTTCTATCCCCTCCATGCACATGTTGTTACACCCAGCTGATAACAAGGGCAGTAACTTCATGTTAAAGCGTTCACAACACCACCCTTGCCCCTGGAGCTACCAACAAGCAGGGGGTGAAGAGCTTCATCCACCTATGCCCAGCAAGGGACAGGTGAGGGTACCATGGTGGCCCATGGCTCCTGCTGGAGCCCAGCCACAGGGCCAACTTGGAGTGGCAACCATCACCATGGGCAGAGATGTCCCCTGGTTGTGTCCATCACCAGCACACTCAGGAGAAGTGTCATTTTCAGGTTGGGGTGGATGGAAAAGGCCAACCCACATAGTTCTGCCATCCACTGACCTGCAGGTGGCCTGGAGGATCTTTCCTGCCCCAGGATGGTTCAGCAAATCATACAGACTGCATGTGCACTCCAGCAAAGGAAATCAGTCCAGGAAACTTTAAAAAACCTCCCTGGCAGCAATGCTCCCACACCACAGGATCCCTGCTCTGCTTTTGCCCCATGCCCTGCACTGCCCTGGAGACATCAGGTGAAAGGGGTGTCAGCTAGAGAAGGATGAGGGGGGCATTTGTGTGTCAGGACAGTGTGAGCCCATGCCAGCTCCCCAAGGAGTCACTGGGAAGGTAGCAGGGATGGATCTGGACTGGAACCAGCATGTGGCTACTGCCATTACCACGGCTTAGAGAAAGCAAAGATTAATGTAATCATTTAATCCCGAGAGATTTCAGGATTCACCGACTGTATCTCATGTCTCCATTCATCACAGCACAGGGGACGTGTGTAAACTGCTCTGCTCTTAGCTGGACCTCTGCTCCCTCCTGATTTCCCTTTTCCTGAGTTCCTCACAGGCCCTCAGTGCCCAGCTCTCCCCACTGCCACATCCCTGCCTCCTGACACAGCTGTGGTGTGGGCCATACCTCACTTTTTGGCTGGTGAGAAGGGTGACATTGTTGCAGTGTGATGCCATTTCCTGTTTCACCCATCCCAACCCCTTAGGTGTGCCAGCCTCTCCTTTCCCCTCCTGCTCAGAGCTGTCCATCAATCTTAACATTCCAGCAGGGTCATGGTGTGGTTGGCAGAAGTTCAAAAGATGCCCCTCAGGTCCGGGCTCATTGGCCTGTCCAAGTGTCTTTATCCCTTGAGCCTTCCCCTCCTCACACCTGGTTGGCCCTCACCTGTCCCTTGCCCTCCCCCTGTCCCCAGGGCTTAAAAGCAGACGGGACCATGCGGTCTGGA